TGGTAAAGGAATGGTGCTACCTAAATTGCCCTCTCTAAAGTATCAAGTATTAAGATTTTTGAATATTTGGAAGCAGATTTTGGAAGACTATTCAGCCTCAGCATCTATCTAAATTAAACTGATAGGCCATTTAATTTATGTCCACACAACTAAGAACTAAAGGCAACTTAGTTCTAACTCTAAAAACTAAATCTAAATATATATATATTAAATATTTAGGAACAAGGAAATAAAAAACACAAGGAAACCATGTAATACCTTCTGCCAGCTCCAACTGTCAGCTAGAAAGGAGCAGATTCAGTTACTGTGATGACCTCATTTACCAACCAGCATTGTTGTGTAAGCATGACCTCATAGAGAAAAGGGAGAAGAAACATGATTGGCTGAGTAGATGCTGCTGTTTCTTAAAGGGAAGAGTAAAGGTAAAGGGGCCCCTGACCATTAGGTCCAGTCGTGGCCGACTCTGGGGTTGCGGCGCTCATCTCGCTTTCTTGGCCGAGGGAGCCGGTGTACAGCTTCCGGGTCATGTGGCCAGCATGACTAAGCCACTTCTGGCAAACCAGAGCAGTGCACAGAAACGCCGTTTACCTTCCCGCTGGAGCGGTACCTATTTATCTACTTGCACTTTGACGTGCTTTCAAACTGCTAGGTTGGCAGGAGCAGGGACCGAGCAATGGGAGCTCACCCTGTCGCAGGGATTCGAACCGCCGACCTTCTGATCAGCAAGTCCTAGGCTCTGTGGTTTAACCCACAGCGTCACCCGCGTCCTGTCAAAGGGAAGAATACTAAGCTTCAAAATTCACAGGATGGTATTTGAAATAAATCTTAAATGACTTTGTGTTTGCTTCCTAAAGATCAAACTTTATTCAATTTTTCTTGCCTGGTAGGCTAGTGGCAGTACAAGCCATAGTCAATCCAGCTGATTGTTCTTTACAAACTTGTCAAAATGCCCAACATTTTTGGTGGTTTTCCCCTCAAACTAGCATTTACATACCAACAATACAAAGAAAAAAATGATACATGTGTCATTAGAGCTGTTCTCTTACCTGATAAAGAACTTTGCCCACATGCTGTAGTAACAGAATAAACTACCTGCAACATCCTATTTAATCTAAACTTTAAAAATCCTAAATAATTGGAAAAGCTCTTAACCTAAATGCAATACATAAATATTTTAAAACCAGTAACTTTAGGACAATCAAAAATAAACAAATCAAGAAAACTAACTTCTCCTTCTGGGACAGAAATGAGCACATTCATTTACAGTACCTGCCTCATCTACCTACAAGCATTGTTTAGCAAGCATGACCTCATAGAGGACAGACAGAGGGGAAAGGTGATTGGCTGAGCAGATGCAGCTGTTTAGAGAGGCTTTGCACAACCTTTATATGATCATATCTCAATATCAGCCTCTTAGGAGGCTCAGCAGAAATTTTAATCTGGAAAAAAAGAGTTTGGCAACTGACCAGATAAAAACCTGGCTGGCCTGCTTTTGTAACCCTTAAAAGAAATGGATCTGCAGAAATATTCAAGTGAAGCTTCTTCCTGGCATGGATCTGCTCACTGTTGGAGCTTAATCTTCTGTTCAGTGCAAAGCTACCAGATTCACGAAGTGGCAATTCTAAGCAAAGTTCTGTGAAAGTGAAAACAGACCACTTTCCATGTTGGTTTTTAATGTAACCAATACGCTTCTTATACAATCAGAAATTGTTGCTAGCCTTTGGAAACAAATGTGGCATTGTCAAACTACCTCCCTCAGGTCTGCCATGCAGTACTTTTCTGCATTCTTCCCACAATTTGCTGTAATAGATTATCAATTTCTTCCAAATAATTTGAAAATAAGGCATAACGGAAGTAATCGAGTAGCTCTGGGTATATCACCTTTGTTGCCAATATTTATTACCCAAATTTTATAAGGCAATGGTTCGCCTACCAGACTCTTTGTTTCTTTTTTCCCTAGTGCAAGGAAAGATCCTTCGATTTGGGTGCTCAACCCTTTCCCCACCCAGAGCTGCCCTGATCAAATCTGGATTATTTTTTTCTACTAAGGACAGAAGGGGTTGGTGGGATTTGGAGTACACGTCTCCAGTGTATTGTTTGGCGCTATCTGAACACTTGCCTTATTAACACGATTTTATTATACGTAGCTGCCCTGTCCTCCTGGCCTGGGCACTGTCACCAGCCCTGCTTCTAATAAATTATTATTATTATTATTATTATTATTATTATTATTATTATTATTATTTTATTATTCATACCCTGCCCATCTGGCTGGGTTTCCCCAGCCACTCTGGCGGTTTACAGCACCTAAAAAAATTGTAAAACATTAGACATTAAAAATTTCCCGATACAGGGTTGCCTTCAGATGTCTTCTAAAAATCAGATACAGTCATACCTCAGGTTGAAGTAGCTTCGGGTTGAGCGTTTTCGGGTTGCGCTCCGCGGCGACCCAGAAGTAATGGAGTGTGTTACTTCCAGGTTATGCCACTTGCGCATGCGCAGACGCTCAAAATGATGTCACGCGCATGTGCGGAAGCGGCAAATCGCGACCCATCCACACGCAGACGCAGGTTGCATTCGCTTCAGGATGCCAACAGGGCTCCGGAACGGATCCTGTTCACATCCAAAGGTATCACTGTAGTTATTTCCTTGGCATCTGATGGGAGGGCATTCCACAGGGCGGGCGCCACTACCGAGAAGGCCCTCTGCCTGGTTCCCTGTAACCTCACTTCTTGCAGTGTAGGAACTCCAGAAGGCCATCAGTGCTGGACCTCAGTGTCCGGGCTGAACGATGGGGGTGGAGATGCTTCTTCAGGTATATTGGGCCAAGGCCATTTAGAGATTTAAGGGTCAGCACCAGAAATGGTGTTCTAGAGCTGATCTAGGGGGAGAATTGCTTCTGTGAAGAGCTGGATGGCCAGAACAGCAATGGGCATCACCTCTGGTAGCTTTAAAAACTATTGGACTAGCACCCAGGAGGACAGGGTTCGAGTCCTCACTCAACCATGAAGTCCACTAGGCAACCTTGGGGCCAGTTGTCATCTCATCTCACCTCACTGGGTTGTTGCTGTGAGGATAAAATAGGGATGAGAACAGTGTACTCCACCTTGAGCTCCTTGGAGGGGGGGAAAGTGGGAACTCCCTGCCTATTGATATCAAGCAGGTAATGCCTTAACAGTATTAGCACTAATTATTAAATCTGTATACCACCCTTCACAGGGGGTGGTTCACAACAGTATGCTTTTCTGGTGCCTGCTATTTTTCTTTAAAATATAAAGCGGTATAGAAATGCAAAATAAATAATTCCTTCCAGTAGCACCTTAAAGGTAAAGGGAACCCTGACCATTAGGTCCAGTCGTGACCGACTCTGGGGTTGCGGCACTCATCTCACTTTACTGGCCGAGGGAGCCGACGTACAGCTTCTGGATCATGTGGCCAGCATGACTAAGCCCCTTCTGGCGAACCAGAGCAGTGCACGGAAACGCCGTTTTCCTTCCCGCCAGAGCGGTACCTATTTATCTACTTGCACTTTGATGTGCTTTCAAACTGCTAGGTTGGCAGGAGCAGGGACCGAGCAACGGGAGCTCACCCCGTTGCGGGGATTCGAACTGCCGACCTTCTGATTCAGCAACTTCCTTTTCCAGTCTATTTCTGAAATTCTTTTGTAATAAGACAGCTACTTTGAGATCTTGTATAGAATGTCCTGGGAGATTGAAGTGTTCTCCTACTGGTTTCTCTGTCTTGATTCCTGATGTCAAATTTATGTCCATTTATCCTTTGGTGTAGGGTTTGTCCTGTTTGTCCAATATAGAGAGCTGAAGGGCAATGATAGAAGATGAGCAATTAAATAGTCCTGAGATGATTTGTTTGATGTTGTTGGGGCCAGTAATGGTGTTGTCCGGGTGTATGTGGCAGCAATAAATAATAATATAAATAAATAAATAAATAATAAAACTGTTCTTGTTTGGGCAAGCCTAAACATGTGCTTAATAAATGTTGTGAGTATTTTTAGTATTTTAACTATTTTGTTATATTTTGAAATGCAGATTTTAATTTTTATTTTTTTAATAAAAAAATTGCAATCAAGTGGCACATCAATTTTAATGGAATGATGAAATGAAACTGCTTTTTGTGGGCTGCTCTTAAGGGGCCTCTTTTTTTGTAGGCTAAAAGGCGGGGTACAAATACTGCTAAACAAAAAAACTAAATATTTAAAAGCGCCTCCCCCACCCCTTCTCCTGTGTGTGTGTGTGTGTGTAAAGCTGCCCTGTTGCTTCTCACGGGGTTTACGTGTGCTTGAAAATAATGTGACATGTGTAAAGGAACTAAAGGAGAACGTGGGAAAACATATCCCCCCCCTCAAACAATCTCAGCCGCAGTGGCGGCACTATTGCGCACGCGCACCATCAAGCCGACGCCGGCTTCTGTGCGCGTGTTGGGGGAAGGGAAGAGAGAGCCCCGCGCGCCACTCGCTCTGGAGAAGCGCGCGCCCGTCGCTTCGCCTTGCCTCTCCCCTCCCTCTGACAAAGGAGCGCGAAACCTTCTCCTTCCGCCGCTTACATTGGCTGAAGCTGGCATGAAGGGGCGGGGCTTTTCCCCCCAGAGTCAGAAAGCCCGCCTTCCGAAAGATGCTCGGCTGTGATACGATGCCGAAGCTGTCCTTTGTATCCCTCCCACCCACCCCGCTCTGCTACGCCGACGCTCTCTAGTCCTTATTCAACTGGAGGAGGGGCCGCAGGGCGGGAACACAACAATGCGACGTCTCCCTATTGGCCAGCCGGCGACTGAAGGGGGGACTTTTCCCCCTCTCGGCTCCCCTGATTGGCTTTGCCATGCGGAGAGAGCTCTCTTCCCATTGGGTTGGAAGAAAAGAGAAGGCCGGTTCAGCCGAGAGGGAGCACGCGCGTGTCCCAATGGGCGCGCGCACGCACGCAGGCACGCGGGCGAGAAACCTGTTCTGCCTGTTGGGTGAGCGAGCGCGGCCGAGCGCCTTCTTGGTTAGCGCTCCCTCAGTCGGGGACGCGCGGCAGAGGGGCGGTGGGGGAGGGGAGCGAGAGCATCTTTCTCTCACACGCGCGGTAGCGTCGGCTCCAGCTCCTCCTTTGTTCGCCTCCACACACCCCACCTCGCCCGCTCTTAGAGATACCGGGCCGCCCGGCTGGCGGGGGCTGGCACGGTAAGGGGTGGGGTCGGGTCGGTGGGGGGGGGGTGGGGGCTGAGGGAGGGTTGACCGCGCACGCGCGTGGATGGATGGATAGATGAATGGATGAAAGAAATGTACAGCCGTGTGAACGAGGAGGGAGGGGGTCGTGAGGAGGGGGCCGCGAGGGGAGGGAGGATGACCTTCGAAGTGTCGTGTGTGGTCGGAGTGGGGGGGGCGCCGTTATTTCGCCTCACCTGCCGTGGGGGTGGGGGGGTCGGCGGAATTGAGGGTAAGCGGATAAAGGCGTGCGCCCGCCCGCGTCCCCGCCTCCTCCTCGCACACCCCCACCCGCAGCATCCTTCCTTTCTTCATGTTCCCCCCATCCGAAAGGACCCCCTCCCAGCATTTCGCACCCCAATCTCAGCATCGGTTTTGGCGTGTTATTTCATAGATATAGTTAACGTCCTTTTAAAAAAAAATCATTCTGGATGAGGATGTGGGGCAGTTTCCAGCCATCCAGTTTTTTAAATCCATTCATTCATTCATTCACTTCTCATCACTCCTACATTTTGTCCTCTCTTGACTCGCCTAAACCCGTCGACTTCCCCAGAGCTGTAATAGGTAACTGTTAAAAATCCGCCCCCCCAAGAGAAATTAATGTGGATGGATTTGCAACCGGTTTGGAATAAATAATGTATTGTGAATGCATTGATGGTGAGTTCTCCCCCACCGGTATAGTATTAGCAACATTTAAGTGTTACGTTAACATTTCAGGATAATAGTTGATAGGTATGATTTATATTGTACTATGTAGCAGCCTAAATGAGAATAAAAATTCTAGTATGTCGATATTATATTAAAGCCACCCATACACAACCGAAAACCAGTTCTAAGGGGCCTAATATTGGCCACCAGCAGCCCAGTATTATTCCCCACTCACCCTCCTGCACCCACCAGCCCAACACCTTCACTTGCCATTCTTGCTTCCACTTCTATAATCCAGTGCCTCCTGCTTCAAGCCAACATCTCCAGGGACAGTACTTACTCTTCTTGTTGTTGTTATTTATTTATACCCTGCCTTTTTCCCTGACAGGGACTCAAGGCAGCTTACAGATAAAATAGGAACAACTAAAAACATAGGGGAGAACGATAGAACCATAGAATTTTAGAGTTGGAAGGGACCCTGAGGGTCGTCTAGTCCACTCACCCGCAATGCAGGAATTTGCAGCTGTCCTAATAATTAAAAAAAAAAACACCCAATTAAACAGTAATAGAATTAAACTATATCTATAAAGCTCTCTCTCGATATATGATCTATTAAAAACATACAGGTAATTACAATAAAAGCATCACAGCACCAGCCCTTTCATTAAAAGCAGTCAGTTCCAGAAAGCCTGTTGGAACAAGAAAGTCTTCACCTGCTTGCAAAAGTACAGCAAGAAGGGAGCCAGTCTAACTTCTCTAGAGAGGGAGTTCCAAAGTCTGAGCAGCCACGGAGAAGGCTGATCACTTGCTCCTCCACTTACCATCAGCAGTTCTCTGTAGCATCACTGTTTATTCAGAGTAGAAGAATAGGCAATTTCTAATGGATTACCCAGTATCAACTGGTTGCTGGGATTACTGTGAATTGTGTTGGACTAGTGTGCCTTGGTCTGATCCAGCCCTTAAACAAGTGTGCATATTCAGGATTGCTTGAAACACCTTTCATTTATGCTGTAACTGTTAAAAGGACCTGCAAGCATATACCCTTATACATAACAAGCATAAGAGGAACATGAGAATTTTAGTTTTGCTGCATAAAGTAGAGACGTTACAGGACTCTTCCCTGACCCTGTTGTGCACTATAGCATGCCTCTAGCTACCTCCTTCATACACTTCCTTATTCCCAAGGACTGACAGATGCATCCCTCCAACATGACCTTTTCTCCAGCTACCCCTAATGCTACTACTCCTTCATTATTCCTTGTAGTTTCTTGTACAATAGCAGTATTTTCTCATGTTTTCCCCACAATTTTTGAAGGTATTGGTCAAGATATTTAGTATTTTTATTGATTTTTTTAATGTAAACTGCCCTGAATCTTGTGTGTGTGTGTGTGTGAATGAGAGAGAGAGAGAGAGAGAGAATGGTAAATAAATTTATTAAATAAATGGGTGACCCATCTCCAGGCTCCTATATAGCCAGCTAGGGATGGAGGCTCTTTTTGTCCTGTCCTCCTAGTTCTCTTCACTCCTTTGCATATTCCTCTTCTTTTATTCTTCTCCCTTTATGGCTTGCTTGCCCCTTGTTTACTCTCCTCCAGTCCCCTCTGTCCTTTGGTTTTTCTGGAAGCCTTGAATAAAATAGGAATGTCATCAAGGCAGTGGAATCTCTCTGTGGAGGTTCTTAGAGGTATCTTTTCCTGTTCTCTTTTTTCTTCTTGTTTCTTTTTAAGCTGTTGTCTTATTTTATTGTGAAAAACTTCATTTAAAAAAGAAAGAAAGAAATGGCATAAGCCTCCCTCATCCTGGTTTAATATTCCTAGAAGTGCTGCTCAGAGTAAGTTCTCCATTCCAGAGTCCATTGCAAATTGCAAAGTACTCAGTATGTTTATACAGTGTGTGAATTTGTGTGACAATCTGTCACTTTCTCTGTCTTGTGCTTCGATTATGACGGACTGATGCTGCTTTCAGTCTCTCTGGACATCCAGCATGTCATGAGAATGCCATTCTTTGCCCTGCCAAAGTCTTTGTTATGTGCAGTAAGCTAAGCTATTTTCCACTGCACAGTGGAGCAAAAGGGAAGTTTGTGCTGTTCTTCTTTTGATGACAGCATGATAGGTATGACAGGCCCCTTACTCAGCTACAGCATTTGCTTAGTCTGGCCACCTTCTGGAGCCAGCCATTGACACATCCAGCATTTTCTCAAGGAACCTAGGAAATTGAGCTCCACATCCTTCTCTCTTCACAGATGCACTCCCCTTCTGAACCACGAGCATTCTTCCCATTACTCTGGACTCTCCTCACAGACAGTGCCCTTTTCCTTTCAGCCTCTCCCACATACTCACTGCTCTTTCCCACCCTGATTTAGTTGGGGAAGTTGCATTTCTATTATTGCTTGTGCCATTCACCAACCCACCCACACCATTTCCTTTGCTCCTTCAGTGTCTCTCCTTGCCACTTTACCCAAGGGTCACAGTTACCCATTACCTTTTTGAAATGTTTTCTTTGTCAACAGCGCAACCACTCTTTCGCTCCTCTTTTTTTGGCAGAATTCTGCAGAAAATTGAAATATTTGCCTGGCTGAGATAATTGGGGCTCAGAAATAATACATAATAATACTGAATGCATTCATCCATAGCACTGATTCATTGGTTTAGCTTTATGAGGAGCGAGCCTTGTGTTTGCTTCCCTTCTCCAGTGCAGCTGTGAAGAGGCACTAAAAGCATTTGCTCCCATTTTGGACTAACTGTAGCTTGTGACATCCAAACCCAGAAATATTGCAGTTAGTCTTAACTGTTCTTAGATGAAACAAGCCAATGTCAAAGCATGATTTATCAAGCTGCTTGTTTTTACTAGCTGTAGTTGACATTAACTACAGTTTGTAATTCATATGTAATGCTATACCATGGAAGCTTCCAATCTTGCAGTCGTGCTGGAGGAGGGGTTAGTAAGCAAGTGCTAGGCTTGGTTCACCCCATACTTGTAACCTAAAACTGTGGTTTAGCATTAGGTGTGAAGCAGGCCATTGTATAAACTGCAAAACAGATGTCACATGTACGTGGATTCAGTGTTAGAAATTCAGATATATAAGCTAGGTGCCTAATGGCTCCTTAAACCAAGTTTACAGTCACCAAAACAGAATGTATAGTTGTCATTTTTGGGCAAGACAGTTTTAAAGTATGAAGCCTGGGAGTCATTTTGGACTCACGGCTCTCCATGGAGGTTCAGGTCAATTCTGTGTCCAGGGCAGCTGTCTACCAGCTCCATCTGGTACGCTGGCTGAGATCCTACCTGTCCACAGACTGTCTCATCAGAGTGATGCATGCTCTGATTATCTACCGCTTGGACTATTGCAATGCGCTCTATGTGGGGCTACCTTTGAAGGTGACCCAGAAACTACAACTAATCCAGAATACGGCAGCTAGACTGGTGACTGGGGGCGGCCGCCGAGACCATATAACACCGGTCTTGAAAGACCTACATTGGCTCCCAGTACGTTTCCGAGCACAATTCAAAGTGTTGGTGCTGACCTTTAAAGCCCTAAACGGCCTCGGCCCAGTATACCTGAAGGAGCGTCTCCACCCCCATCGTTCTGCCCAGACGCTGAGGTCCAGCGCCGAGGGCCTTCTGGCGGTTCCCTCATTGCGAGAAGCAAAGCTACAGGGAACCAGGCAGAGGGCCTTCTCGGTAGTGGCGCCCGCCCTGTGGAACACCCTCCCATCAGATGTCAAAGCAATAAATAACTACCTGACATTCAGAATACATCTTAAGGCATCCCTGTTCATCAAAGTTTTTAATCTGTGATATTTTAGTGTATTTTTGGTTTCTATGGAAGCTGCCCAGAATGGCTGGAGAAACCCAGCCAGATGGGCGAGGTACAAATAAATTATTATTATTATTATTATTACTACTAACAGATTTGTGAATGTTCTAGTTCTCACGCATCTGAACTTCCAGTGACAATGGCACATGAATCTTTTAAATAAAGTCGCATGTTTACCATAGAAAGCATTCTATTACTGTGTTAAGTGTTTAAGGACTGTCATCCTAGAAACACTTAACTAGAAGTCCCATTGAACTCTTAAGTATTCTTTTGAACTATAGGTGGGGATATTGTGATATTTCTTTATAAGGCAGCCCTGTTCAGGGAAGTTTTTAATCTGTGATATTTTACTGTATCTTTGGTTTTTATGGAAGCCGCCCAGAGTGGCTGGGGAAACCCAGCCAGATGGGCGGGGTACAAATAATAATTATTATTATTATTATTATTATTATTATTATATTTGTCAAAGCTGCACGTTTTCCTTTAAACTATGGAAAAATCTTGTCTTGATAAAGGTTTAGTTGCCCGCATCAATAAATGCAGTGCTGCCTTAGCATCTTTTTTGCCACCATCCTTTTGTCTCTCTCCCCCCGCCAACTTAATAAAGGGAACAGCCTAAAGAATTTTGTGCAAATTTCCCTCACTGCTTCCCCTTGAAGCTTAGATAAAGATTATCATAGTCAAACCTCATAATTAATTATAGTTAGCTACCAACTAGGAGTGCTTATGAGCTTCAACTCCTGGTTAAAAGCAATTCCTTATTAGTGTTAGCATCAGTGACCATGTTACCTTTAGAAGTGATAAAGGTCAATGGAAGTAGTGATTTATTCATGAGACTGGGAAGTGCGAGTGCATAATATGGTTGCCTGTCTGAGATCCATTAACTGGTTTAAGGGATCCTTCTCTCTTCACATCAGTTAAATCATCAAGTTGGAAAAGGATCCCAAGCGTCAATTTAGCTCAACCCTTCCTGTGCAGGAATCACAGCTAAAGAATCACTGGCAGATGGCAACCCAACATCTGTTTAAAAATGGTAGTCTGTTCCACTGTCAAAACAGCTCTTATCAGAAAATTATCCCCAATGTTTAGCCGGAGTCTCCTTTCCTGTCATTTGAATCCATTGGTTCCCATCTTTTGGAGCAATAGAAAACAAGTTTGCTCCATCATCCTTATGACACACCTTCAGATAATTGAAGATTGTAGTATGTACCTCCTTCTCACGCAGTGTTAGAAACTCAGATTTATAAGCTAGGTGCCAATCATATGTTACGGTCACTACAGCAGAATGTCGATTTGCCAGTGGGTTGGACTAGATTACTCTCGTACCTTTCAACCCTACAATTCTAATCTCAACTACATTGCTTGATTCTTACAGCAATTGTATTAACTATGAACTAAGGCAGAAGTTGTTGCCATCCTGGCACCCAGAAATCTCAATTTAATTGCAATTGAACCCACACTAGTAGCAAAACACGCCTGAGAAATTTTGAACACTGTTCTCAGATGCTTTTCACCTGTCTGTTTAACTGTTTACCTTGGTATTTTGTCACTGGGGCTGAGACTCTCCATCACCTGTGGTTTCCCTCATGCTTGTAGAGTTTGGCATCCTTACAGGCTGTTTTTTTATACCCCTGGCTAGCTTTTCTCCTTAGGAAACACTAACTTCAGAATAGCAATTTTCTTCTGAACCACTGTGGGAGGAAAACAAATTCTGCCTCCACACATGTCCTGACCCCATTAATCATCATCTCCGGCAACTAATGCAATGTACATTTTTAAAAACCCTACGAATAGATTTTAAAGGAAGGGTGACTTAACCTTTAACCATTCAGATGCTGCTGAACTGCAACATTATCCCTCACCATTGTCTATGCCAGGCATAGGGAGTTGTAGTCCCAAAACATCTGGAGGGCCAAGTTTGGCCGTGCCTGGTCTATGCTGACTGTGGATGATGGGAGTTGTAGTCCAACAACATCTGGAGTACAACAGGTTAGCCACCCCTTACACACACAATCAGATGAGTGCTATTTAGGAGAACCAGCATTGTTCCAGCATTTTAAGCATTCCATTTTATCTTATGTGTTTTCAGGGAGCCACATGCATAAAAAATACCCTTACCACATCCCTTGTGTTAACTTGGTCTTTGGTAAAGGTAAAGGGACCCCTGACCATTAGGTCCAGTCGTGGCCGACTCTGGGGTTGCAGCGCTCATCTCGCTTTATTGCCGGTGTACAGCTTCCGGGTCATGTGGCCAGCATGACTCAGCCGCTTCTGGTGAACTAGAGCAGTGCACGGAAACGCCGTTTACCTTCCCACCGGACCAGTACCTATTTATGTACTTGCACTTTGACGTGCTTTCGAATTGCTAGGTTGGCAGGAGCAGGGACCGAGCAACGGGAGCTCACCCCGTCGCGGGGTTTCGAACTATCAACCTTCTGATCAGCAAGTCCTAGGCTCTGTGGTCTTTTGTATGTCTCCCTAAATCAGTACTGAAGATAATGAAGGGTTAACTGGATTTAATGGGTGATATTGGATCCCTTAAGTAGGATTTTACTTGGGATTACCTTAATAAATGCTTTTCAGTTGCCGCTGCAGCAACAGCAACCCCCACAATAATATTAAATTATTATTTTCAGGTGCAGGCACATTAGTATGCATTATTTATTTCGATTTAAGACCTCTCTTCATCAGAGACCACAGGGTAATGTAAGAAATAATAATAACATTTACTAAATAAATAAATTAATGAAATTTATTAGAGTGCCTGTTTCAAAATATATCACAAATGGTGTGTGTGTGTTTTGGGGGGGGTGCTTTTCTTTTGTGCAAGTATTTAAATGTGTGATTTGCCTAGACTGGAATGCAGCAATTCTTAGTGCTTGGCACGATCCTAGAAAGGCTTACCTATATATAACATTTATATATCAAGTCGCTGTGTTGATTTTTTGGTAGGCAGCTGGCATCCTTGAAAAGCTAGGGTGTATATATTTTAAACGAAAAAGTAAGTTCAGTTCTGGTTTTTTCAACAGCATTGGAATAGATACTGACAATTCAAAGAAATTGCTCATTGCCACGGTGGACAACTGCTATGAGTTAACAAACAACCTGAAGTTCACAGGTAGGTGAACTTAAAGGATAAAAAAATCATGTATATTTCAGCTGTTTTTAAAAAATGAGAGACTTTGACAAAATGCATTTCAGGGTTTTATTTTGGGTAGATTTTGTGTTACTTATCAACATTTCTGTAGTTAGGAATGGAAAAGAGGTTGTTAAAATAACAAAAACTTCAAGTTGCTAACACTTTTTATATAGTGGAGAAAGCTAGGGTTCCCATGGTCGGGTTCATTGGGTTTTGTATGTATGTGTGTAAAACGAGGTATCAGTTTTAAATTAAAGCAATTTATGTTCATTCTAAATGAAGTTAACCACTTTCCCGCAAAATATGTCTTAAAGAGGCAGTGTTTTCTACAGGAATAGGTTGTTAAGTAAGGATGCTTCTGTGCATAGCCTTAAGTCGAATTTCGCACAAATAAGATTTCTGGGTGTGAGAGAAAGTGGTAAAGAAGATCAGATGGAAAATATTCTGCTTCAGGTGACACACAGGCAGAGGGATACTACTAGAATCACAGTCCCAACAGTAGTCTGATGTCCAAACTCGTGATACAATGAGAGGCAAGGTGTGGGCAGTTCAAAATCCAAACACAGGGAATGTATGTATGTACATATGTACTTACTGCTGTAGCATAAACATATATTACAGTGGCTTTACAACAACAACAACAACAACAAAACATAAATCAAGACAGTAAAGGTATAGAAAATTAACAACTACTGAAAAGCAAAAAGAAATTAAAAACAAACACCAACAGACCATTGTGGGGGACATACCTAGGCCTGGTGGAATGGGAAAGTTTTCAGTAAGCATTTAAAAGTTGGCACAGAGGGCCTCCACTGAATCTCTGTTGTCCACATGTTCCACTGGACGGGGCCAATGACACTAAAGACTCAGGTTCTCATTGTTTTCAAACAAGCCTCACCGATTTGGAGAACGACCAGAGACTCTCCTGCAGATGATCTCAGTGATTCAGCTGTGATGTAAGGGTTCAGGCGATCTCTGGACTGGGCTCTATCTAAGTCTTGCTGGAGAATGTGGGATCCCTAAGGCAGACTCCAGCTGTCTGTGTCTGTACAAGACACTTCCTAACTCTCATCTAAAGTCCTGGAGGGCTTGGGACACAACAGCCATAGTAACCCTCTGTTGGTGTCTGTCTGGTAGATTTAATGACAAAAAGGAGGGACTGAGAAATGTTGGCTTATCCTGAGGTGACTGGCCCTGCTTTCTAGTACTGGGTGATGAGAGAAGGAAGTGGATTCTAGTCAGGAACTGGTGTTATCCTTTGTTCTGATGTAACAGTATCAATTGAATGGTATCAGATTGTATCTTTTTTAGGAAACAGAAGAAGCAAAAGCCAGCTGGTGTTTTGTACATTAATAGTATTAATAGTAGGATGCTGCTGTGTAGGCTTCGGGAAATTGGAAGAAAGGACTTGTGGCACCGTGTGGGCAGGGCTTGCCTTTAGCCAGTAGCTCCTAGGAATGGTATCAGCTGGTGAGCTGCGATTCAACTGGGGAGTGGCAGGGAGGCAAATGGGGTAAGAGGTACAGCTGGCTGAAAACGCTACTGACAAAGACTATGGGGAAGGCGAGGAGAGAAGGCCACACATCTTTACTCAGCCAGGGGGATGGGGAGATGCAGATAACACAGCTTCCTTCTGTGAAGAACATGGAAGGGCTGTCCATGAACTAGTGACAGGTAAGAGGCTTCTGAACAGACTATGCTGGGGGGCTTTGGAAGAAAATACACAAACACCAGGAAATAAAGCCTGTTTATCTGCGTCACGTTAACCTGGTTGAAAGATTTCCTGTGAGCATAAAGGCCCTGATCCATGGGTGGGGTGGAAGCAAGTCCCAGTCATACTACATAATCCAAAGGTACTCCAGTTATTCTCTCTTTTTTTTCTTTTTCCTAAGCACAAATGGTGCTGTTTCCAGAGCAGCACATAACTATGTCATGCTGTGAACCACTGATGATGTATTTTTCCTCTGACAATGAAACACAAATGGTTTGGGGGATTTGTTTCTCACTAATAATGAATTATCTTGCCCTAGGATACTATCTTGAACAACATCGTTGAAAATGTCTACTCCTGATCCTCCAATGGGAGGAACGCCTCGTCCGGGGCCTTCTCCTGGGCCTGGACCTTCTCCTGGTGCTATGCTGGGCCCCAGCCCTGGACCGTCTCCAGGTTCTGCACATAGCATGATGGGCCCCAGCCCCGGGCCACCATCAGCAGGGCACCCTATACCACCACAAGGGCCCGGAGGTTATTCTCAGGACAACATGCATCAGATGCATAAGGTAATAAACCACAACATTGCTTTGCCTTTGTGTATATATAATGGCACTGCTGTGCTCTCCTGGTGTGGAAAAACAAGTGATCTTTGTTGCAATCTTTCTTCTTTCAACACCCCCTCCCCAATAAAATGTAGCACATCTCTTATGTTTCAGCATAAGAAGTAGAAGCCTTCCCCTCGCAGGTCCATTCTTTAGAAATTTAATATTTTAGTTCTCTGGTTTTAACCACATCCTGGGGCTTCAGGTGACTGTTTCTACCTGGTACTGAGACTTTCCTTTTTCCAGACTGTGTTAACCCCCAATGTTTCAGGCAATTCTTCCGTTCTGAAAAGTGTTTCATTGCTGTCTTGTTGTGTGAAATGTCCATACATCTTTTAAAATTAGGCCATCTTGTACATTTTTGAAAGAAGGTAGAAACTTAGCAGTGTTGGTGGGCATACATTTTACCTAAGTCACACTGCAAGAGCACCTTGACCGACAGGTGTTTAGAAACGGAACTTGAATGTTCAGTGAAATGTGTGTAGTAGTAGTTCTCAATAAGCTGGTTTGCACATCCCATTGGTTTCATATAGTGCACACTTAGAAACTGTTCCAGTGAAATAGCTATTTAAATGGATTTTCGATATTTGTTTTTATATTGTTGTTGCAGCCAATGGATTCCATGCATGAGAAGGGAATATCTGAGGATCCTCGTTACAGCCAAATGAAGGGCATGGGAATGAGGGCTGGTGGGCACACAGGAATGGGACCTCCTCCTAGTCCAATGGATCAGCATTCTCAAGGTATTGCTTTCTTAAGATTAATGTGCATCAGATTGCAGATTAACTCTGTATTCTTGAAATTACAGAATTTGAGATTGTTTTTAAGCAAGTGTTTCAATTTTGGTGGTACTGGATAAGTTGCTGCTTTTACAACTGGGCATATGTAGCAGGCAGTAACAGCACTGCAACTGCTTTCTGTTCCTGATCTGACTGAGAACTGCCCCCGTAGACTTCCAGCATACATTTGAAGCATTTGTGCTCTTTATTCCTTTCAAATATTGGCATTATTATGGTGTGTGCTTTTAAATAAAAACAGCTGTATATTATATTGTTGTATCCCACCTTGGAACCTTACGGTGAAGTGTGGGTAAGAAATATTTTGAATAAATCTCTCATTTTAAATGGCTAATTAAAAATTAAAAATAGATAAATGTAGTATCTGTAAAATGCAAAAGCATGTTTAAAATATAATTGTATTTAAAGCTTGATTACAGCAGATTGATCTCTCTCCCTTTGTCTGCGCACTCTTCTCTCTAGGTTACCCTTCTCCCCTTGGTGGTTCTGAACATGCATCGAGTCCAGTTCCAGCTAATGGTCCTTCTTCTGGCCCCCAGATACCCTCTGGTCCTGGAGGAGTCCCATTAGATGGTACTGACCCCCAAGCGCTAGGGCAGCAGAATCGTGGCCCAACTCCTTTTAACCAGAATCAGCTGCATCAACTGAGGGCTCAGATAATGGCCTACAAGATGCTTGCCAGAGGCCAGCCTTTACCTGACCATCTTCACATGGCCGTGCAGGGGAAAAGGCCAATGCCTGGAATGCAGCAGCAAATGCCAACTCTACCTCCACCTTCTGTATCTGGAACAGGACCAGTGCAAGGACCAGGGCCTGCACCTGGACCAACACCTCCGAACTACAACAGACCTCATGGTACGTATAAGCTTAAGTGCATTATTCTGGGGTGATTGGCCACAGAGTAACCCACTTCTGCTAGAGCCACACCTCCTTCTCCCTCTCCCATTTAAGGAGTGACACAAACGGTGGAGGAAGAAAAACCTTACTCTGTGTGTATGTGTCTGTCCAATGTATGCACAGGTATGGGAGGGCCTAACATGCCCCCTCCTGGACCCTCAGGAGTTCCCCCAGGAATGCCCGGGCAGCCCCCTGGTGGACCCCCAAAGCCCTGGCCTGAAGGTAAGACCTTTGTGAGGGCAGGATTAATTGAGGCTTAGCTTTTTGTTTAAGTTGTATATTGAAATGCATTTTGCATGAACAGCAAAATCTTATAAAAACTTGAAGGATGCAACTGTATGTCTTGTTGAGTTTTATTACATTAAACTAGTATGGCTACCCCTATATAATCCATGCCACATCACATTGTTTCAGTGATACCAATCTGGCCATTTTTTCTGAGCTGAAAGTGATAATTCTTAAGATATGTGTTCAGAAATATTAAAATATCATTATATATATTTGAAAACTGCCATTGAATTACAGTTCTAATTTTTGTGCATGAATTATTATTAGATTTATGACATCTCTGTCTGATACCTCATCCCAGCTCCTCTTCTCCCCCTCCCCCCGACTGTTGAGGTGCCAATGGTGACCCACTTTAGGACAAGCTGTTGTGATCCACCTTTGGGTCCCACTCTAGTAGTTGAAGACAAATGCTTTAAATAACCGCAAAGTGGGTTTCAAATCATGGGATTTAAAAACTTTAACTAGGATATCTTTTGACTTGATTGATTCTGCCATCCATGCATAAACTGAACACCTCCAAGCTAGTCTGCAGCACCATGAGGCTGAAAAAGATTACAGAACTGCTCAGCCATCTTGATATTTCAAATCCAGAAATTCTATAACTTCCACCATTGGGAGGTATAAGTACCATTAGAAACTCCAGGTCACATTGGAAAGTCAACTTCTGGGGATTATTGTATTAAATTTGAGGTAATTTGGCACTGATTTGTTAAAAAACAATCAATATTCATTGGCAAAAAAGGGGAACTTCTGCCTGACAAATGGAGTCATCTTCAAGTAGGATAAGATCAACTCCTGAAAACCGCAGCATATTCAGACCACTTTCTTTTTGTTCTGAATTTGTGTTTAGCAAAATAGTTGCTTTCCTCACTTAAAAAGGCCTCTGGGACTTGCCTCAGCAGGATCCAAACTTCCTTTTGTAACATACAGTTTTGAGGAGGAAAATGGGCACTAGCCGTCTGAGGACATCGGAACAAGGTGGCGGTTTGGGGGTATGTTTTGGTGCTAGTAGGAGAAGCTGCTTTGCAAACTGCTGAAGGTGTTATTAGTGTATCAGAGATTTCACGTAGCTGGTTTTGCCAGCTTCTCATTAGATTCCTTTTCCCTTTATGTTCTGTATTTTTGGATTCACTCCTCCCAGCCATAGAGCCCCTGCAATATTTATGTTTTTTCCCCAAACCAGATGAGCAGATATTTTGCTCTTTGGAAAGATTCTTACTGATGGCTCATTTTTCTCTTGACAAGTACACCATGTGAACATTCCATGACATCACAGCAGCTTAATGGCTTGAATAAAATGGTGGTTGAATAGTAATAGTTGTCAAACAGTTTTCAGCTTATTATTATAGGCCAGATAGTGGAACAGGTGTTCACATTTAGTGCTCCTTTAATTCATTATAGAGATCACTATAAGAGGGTGTGGTATTTTTTTCAGGTCATTTCCTGCGGTTGAGAGCCAGTCTCATGTATGAGTGGATGGAATGGCAGGTGTATACAGCAGAGGTCATAGCAAGCCACAGTGGGAAGTGGTTGACTTTCTCTTAGCTTACTTCATAAGATGTCTGTGAGGATGAGCAGGGAGGCAGAACAACACTATCTTCTGTCTTGAGCTGCTTGCAGGAAGGTTGGGTTAAATTATAACAAAACAAAACTATTATTCAGCATGTAGAAATTGGTCCTTGAACACTGCAGTCTTTATGCTCATATGTGCTTATATCAGGCTCTTATACGAGGGAGTCTTTAACAGCCTTCTTCCTACCAATGTTCTTCTATAGGACCAATGGCAAATGCTGCAGCCCCTACTAGCACACCTCAGAAACTGATTCCTCCTCAGCCAACAGGCCGTCCTTCACCAGCACCTCCGGCGGTACCTCCAGCAGCATCCCCTGTAATGCCTCCCCAAACTCAGTCACCGGGACAACCAGCCCAACCTGCCCCAATGGTGCAACTCCACCAGAAGCAAAACCGTATCACTCCAATTCAGAAACCAAGAGGACTTGACCCAGTTGAAATCCTTCAGGAGAGGGAGTACAGGTAAAAATGGAGCTACTACAATCTTAACTGTTTCACTGGTGCTTCTGGGCAACAGGTTGACTTTAATTAAGGCTGCATTCAGTGAAGTGGCTTTTTAGGGCCTGTTAGCACTATTCTAGTCTTGGTCTTCATTGTGCTCTCATGCTGGAACAGCAGGAGAATGTTATTAGCAAACCTGTGTTTGACCAAAGCCAAGTGTTACAGCTTTGTCCCTTTGCAGAGGGGTGGATTTAGGTTTATCTTGAACCTGTGTTGCCTTTCTCTTAGCTTCCTGACCCCTTGGTAGATAACTGCTGTAGCTGATATCTCTTGTTTAGACATGATAAAAGACCTAAACAAATGCATTGTCTTAATCTACCGTGTCAGACTGCAGGCTCGCATTGCTCACAGGATACAAGAACTTGAAAACCTTCCTGGGTCACTGGCTGGTGACTTGCGAACCAAAGCTACCATTGAACTTAAAGCACTACGGTTGCTTAACTTCCAGAGACAGGTAGGCCAAGTTCCATAGCTGGAACTCCTGTTGCTCAAGACTATTTTGGAAATCGGAATCGCATATTTTACTCCAGGGTTTTGTAACTTAATGGAAACGTACAAGAGGCAGCATTTCAGGTTGAGTAGCTTCATTTCAATAAAATCAGAAGCTTAAAATGTGACAACCATCTCCTGGCCTTCCAGGGTCAGTTACTTGCTTTTCTAGTAATTTTTTTTGTTCAGATATGGGCATGGTTTCATAATAGAGGACCAAATCAATTGTCAGATGTGCCAGTGCTGTTTTGTATTCATAGAAATGTATCTTGAAAGCAAGAGGTGCCAACGTCTGCCAATACTCCCTTGGTGGAGTAGTCTTTTAGCATCTGGCCTTACCTGTTTGGCTTGAAGTGCCGGAATTTGTGCCTTAGGCAAATACGTCTCTCTGTGTTATGAATAGGAATAATTTTCTATTTATGTCTGCCTCATATTTATATATCATAAGATAGTTAAAAGAGGTGGCAATTCAGTAGCTTTCCTTTTAAAGAGAAAATGACCAGATAGCCATACCAATGTAGAGAAGTTCTTCAAAATGCACTTACTGTTCTTTTCCTCTTATTTTCCTTTCTTCCATTTCTTTGCTGCTTCTTTGTCTCCCATTTTATCCATGCTCCTCTTCTTTCCTTTTCTGTTCTCCTTTCAGCATTTCCTTCTCTTTCTACACAGTTCTCCACCTTGTTATGTCTTCTCCCACTCTGCTTCCCCCACAAATTATTTTGTTGGTCTTCTGCATATCTTTATTGAATCCATGTGCATCTCCCCCATGTCATTCTTCTTTTCTCCAGTGCTCCCACTCAATAATTTTCCGCCCAGCCATTTTTTAAATTTATCCTTAGCTTTCTTTAATTTAGCTTTATTATTATTAACCTTTTGTCTCCAAAAGCCTTTCCTAGACTAGGCCTCACTTTGTTTCAGAGAACCTGGATTTTCCTCTTTACCTATCCTTCCTCTGTTGTGTTTGGCAACTCCTCTTCCTGAAGGACACTTGGCGGGTGGTTGTGCTCATCTAAGTACTGTTAAAAAAAAAAGGAGCAGGTGGAGTTACTTGAATAACAAAATAGAAATAATGAGCAATATCATCATCATTTTATTTGTATGCCGCCTTTCCATAGTTAAAACTATGCTCAAGGTGGCTTACAACATGGCAAGATTTACATAATTACAAACATAACAGAAGTCATAAACAATTAATAAAACACATCAAAAGTACACAACCTAATGGAAACAATTTCCACATGAATCATAAGATCTAAAACTAAAGCTACAACTTTAAAGCTTCCAATTGGAAAATTGTTATTGAAAATGAATAAATTATTTAATAAAACTAAAGATACAACAATAATATCAGTAACAGTAACATCTATCTCAACACCCCCCCCCCCCGTAAACAAAACTCCAGCCCAATAATCTGTTCAACAGCCTCAGCCTTTGTAGCTGGAGTCAGTCAGCACTCCACTCTCCCAGGCCAGATGGGAAAGGGCCAGTAAGGCAGGGTGCAGGTCTTCCAGGGCTCACAGCCAAGATGGTCTTTAAGCCCTGCCCCAAGCCAGGTGGAAAGAGGCAAGGGTGGGTCCCTTCAGGCTCTCAGCAGGCAGTCCTATCAACCATTTGAGGTGGCTATCCATGTATATATATATGCTTTGTTGTCCTGCCTTGCTTGGAATTCTAGTGGTTGGGGCTCTGAGGTTCAAAGGAACCTCAGATGTGGATACGTCTCATGCCTTTCAGCAGCGTCACATGTGTGTTTTCCCTGCTTAAATAGACTGATAAATGAAGGATCCCCTAAAACAGTGATGGCCAAACTTGGAACTACATGCCCCATCATCCCTAGCTAACAGGACCAGTGGTCAGGGATGATGGGAATTGTAGTCCCAAAACAGCCGGAGGGCCAAGTTTGGCCGTCAGTGCCCTAAAACATATTGGAGAATAGGCACCAGAGGTAACCTTCCTGATTCATTTTCCTTACCTTGCCCACCCATTTAAGGGATGTGTACGTATATTTGAGATCTAAACCATTCTGGGGCTTTGAGACCATTTCTATAAATACCTTGATGTATAATTTCTCCTTAAGTTTAGCACTTCCATTCACTCAGTTTAACACTAACACAATTAATGCTTTGTTTTTTCTTTTGAAAAGCCACTACAAAAGACAATTGCAAAAATATCTTCTTGTAATGACTTGGCAGGTACATGCCTTGTGACAGCGTGCAGGTGTATGTCTTAGTCCACTCCTTTCTCAACTTTCAGATAGGAATTGACTCTTTCTTTTAAAATTGTTGTTCCAAAGCTGCGTCAAGAAGTTGTGGTATGCATGAGAAGAGATACTGCTCTGGAAACAGCACTGAATGCCAAGGCATACAAACGTAGCAAACGGCAGTCCCTGCGGGAAGCTCGCATCACTGAGAAGCTGGAGAAACAGCAGAAGATTGAACAAGAACGAAAACGCCGGCAAAAACATCAGGCATGCAATTCTTCTGTTTTTATGTGAGATGGTGGTGTGTAGAGGAGGGTGGCAAAAAGAGCAGTGCCGGTGAACATTTATTATACTACTAATGTTTCCATTTTATTTTCCTACATGAAGTTACTGCATTTTTGTAGGTAACTAACATGCAGCAAACAAAGTAACCCTATCAATGTCTTGAATGAGGAGAAGGGAAATTAGGTGGTGGGGTTGAAATCACTCCTAAATGTTGAGAAGGCTAGAGGGTTAAAAGAAGAGATAAAGGGAAGTAAAATGCATGGCAACAATGGAGGTGAAGAACTAGGTGCATCACTGCTCAAAGAGCTATTGAAAATATGGAGTTACCATCTTTGGTATCCATCGCTGTAGGTCTAATTTCTTTAGCATAAAAAGTTAGCATATTGCCAGCCTGTTTATCCAGAGAGGGAGGTAGATGAGATTTCTAACGTTCTCTATAATAAACATCTTAGCTACTAAAACAGTTCCTGTATTTTCAGATTATCATGTACAGTATTGGAACTACCTAAACATAGACAATGATTAAAATCTTAAATAAGAATACACTGCACTGTTTTGCTTAGGACTGTTGAGTAGCATTCCCGCTACAACCCTGTGAGGTGAGTTACAGCAGGCATAGGCAAACTCCAGCCCTCCAGATGTTTGGGACTACAATTTCCACCATCCCTCACTAACAGGACCAGTGGTCAGGGGTGATGGGAATTGTCGTCCCAAAACATCTGGAGGGCTGAGTTAGGGATGATGACAATGGAGTAGAGATTTGAACCCAGGTCTTCATAGTCCAATCCCAAACCTCTTTCCACTGTATCTCACTATCTATAGGATAGGGTCATGTTCACTCCTTGTTCACCTCTGGCCATTTTCTGTATCTGAGGAGGAAATGTTTTTGATTCACTGAGTATCCTTTGGCTTATCATTCTCACACGACTGAACCTACCTCACAAACAATTTTGGTGTTCCCATCAGGAGTTTGTGGGCAGCTTGGTGTACATTGGGCTTCCCTGGAGCGCTCTATTTGGCTGCTTCTGGCTTTGTGGAGATAAGACTAAAGGAAATAACAAGCAGAAATTGAGATTTTGGCTGGCGGAAGGAAACCTAAATTATTGAAAGCAGTAACATCCTGCAGAAAATTTGCAACAGCTAAGAATGACACTGGGCTTAATATGCAATTGAATACACTTGTAATGGGCATTTTGTGATTGCTGATATCACAGTTGTAGATTGCCAACAGTCTTAAGAGGCTCTGTCACAGGTGTATATATTCATTAATCCCTTTTGTATTACATTTCCTTTTAGGAGTACCTCAATAGCATTCTTCAGCATGCCAAGGATTTTAAAGAATACCACCGATCTGTCACAGGGAAGATTCAAAAACTTACAAAGGCTGTGGCCACTTACCATGCCAATACTGAGCGTGAGCAAAAGAAAGAGAATGAGAGAATTGAGAAGGAGAGAATGCGCAGGTTGATGGTAAGGTTTGTTTCAAGATTGGAAACTAGAAATGTTTCAGGCATAAACTTTACCCAGCTGAGCTTGCAGTAGATTGCAGTTTGGTACACTTTGTTTTAAATGACTGTTGTTCCTAATTTAAAGCATTTTTTTTTAAAGGCTGAAGATGAAGAAGGGTACCGTAAGCTAATTGATCAAAAGAAAGATAAGCGCTTAGCCTACCTGCTTCAGCAAACAGATGAATATGTGGCCAACCTCACAGAGCTGGTGAGACAGCACAAGGCTGCCCAAGTTGCAAAGGAGAAAAAGAAGAAGAAGAAAAAGAAGGTAACCTGGAGTTCATTAACTTGCTATGATCAATAATGCTGATGAAATGCAAACTTCGTATAAGCATTTGGGTTGGAAGATGCTTTTCATTTCATTTCAGGCCTTTGGTTGTGTGCTTCTGAACAGGGTCCAATTCTCTAGTTATTTTATTTTTTGGCATAAACAACATAGCATTGGTATCGTAGCAGATCAGAATAGATCACACAATATCCATAAATAAAACACACACAAAGCAATTGTTGTTAAATAGATTACCATTTCAACATTTTATGCTAAAACCAGTCCTTTTTCATGAACAAATAATATGACTAAAGGATCTAACTGTTTTGTCATAACCTGTTAGATTTCTCACGTCATCTTTTGAAGCTGCCTAGAAGGTCCAGAATATGCAAAACATACCAGCTCTTCACATTTGTTGTGGAACACGTTGCCATAGCCATTTCTGGACATCTAAGGAAATACCTTGCTCAATCTTTCCATAGCAAGCAGCCAGTTGTGTCCCTTCCAAAAACTTCCTGCTGGAACATAGATGTTCGTGTCTGAGTGCAATAATAAACGAATTGATTCCTTTAAGCTTCCATTTCTAATGTTGCCTTGAACATGTTTCTGCTGTATTTGTACTAGATCTTAAATTTTTAATGTGGTCTTGGAAGCATAACAGTATATACCATTCTATGAGCATGGAGGTATCAAGTGATTACAACTCCCTATTGATTGAAGGAAGATCAATAACAGCTTCTGGAGACTTCCTGGTCTTCAGTTCTTTTATCTCTGTGAGAGATGACTTGCTACTCCTGCGTTATCCTGACCTCAGCCTGTTTTTTCTCCTCCATTCTGTTAGTCCCTTGTTTGTTTTCTCCTGGTCCCAGTCTCCTCTTCTTCAGCATTCTTTTTTAAAATTTTTTTTGTCTGAAAGCAAAGGAGGAAGAAACACTTTCTTATAATTCTACATTGGTTTGTTGCCTATACAGTGGTGCCCCGCAAGACGAAAAACTCGCTAGACGAAAGGGTTTTCCGTTTTTTGAGTCGTTCTGCAAGACGAATTTCCCTATGGGCTTGCTTCGCAAGACGAAACATCTTGCAAGTTCTTGCGAGTTTGTTTCCTTTTTCTTAAAGCCGCTAAGCCGCTAATAGCCGTGCTTCGCAAGACAAAAAAACCGCAAGACGAAGAGACTCGCGGAACGGATTAATTTCGTCTTGCGAGGCACCACTGTATTGTTATTACCTGTTTTTTACTCCCTCTCCTCCCATACTTCTACAGGAAAAGGGGTGATAGTCTTCAAAACTATGCTCAGCATTACATCATGACAGCATTATGTCAGGGAGGTCAAGTATTCGTGGACTGCCTCAATATAGGAGGCAAGTTCCATCCTCCTCTCCTGTCAATGTGCATGTCCTCAGGGAGCTGGTAGTGTTTCTTGGTTGACCCCAGTTGTTGATGTTGTAGCCACAACCAGGAATGAGATCCTCATAGTGCTGCACCTACTTTACAAATGATCACTGTGGCTCTTTTCTTCAGTTCAAAACCATCCAGGATTCTTACTGTACTCGCTGCAGACATGCTCTCCAGCCAGCACCATTATCACTCACAAATGTTAGCCCTGCAGTGTCAAATGTGGGCCTCCAGATGGCACATGACGACTTTGATTATACCAGGCACCCCCAAACTCAGCCCTCCAGATGTTTTGGGACAACAACTCCCATCATCCCTAGATAACAGGACCAGTGGTCAGGGATGATGGGAATTGTCATCCCAAAACATCTAGAGGGCCGAATTTGGGGATGCCTGGATTATACGGAGGAGATTGATTCAGAAGGAGAAGGCATTTTAAATGCACTAGCAGTGATTGAAACTTCAGTTCTCAGAGGGGATCAAACTGAATGGTTAAGTCAATGTCTACTGTTAACTTGACGATGATTAAGCCAGTCCTCTTGTTTTCACCATGACCTACAGATCATTTTGAACCACCTGAAGGATCATGGGTTTCTCATGAGTCAAGACAAAAGTCATTCCACTTGCAGAATTCAGCATAAGTGAGCAATGATAGATACTGCACAAGGCACATCCCCTCTCTTCCTACTGAGAAGTTCTGCTTCACCATGGCATCTATAGTTCTTGCCCAAGCTTTGGAACACACATTGCCATGGGAAAGTTTCTATTCTAGGCCACATCAGTGGACACTTCTTTCATATCAAGATGCCACTGTACATGCATTGCCTCTGGGAATTTATTTTTATCCAGAGCAGTCTGTGCTGGTGGACAAGATCAAGCAACTTCTCCAGGGGAGTCCTGATCAAGGACTTACTGTACATGAATAAATGCCAGTTTCTTAGGATAGGGAACCCACTGTAGGGGCACATGGGATATATCAGAAGCATCCCACAGCTTCAGCTGAAGGACCAGCAACTTCAGTTCCTCTTCTCCTTGTAATCTTTTCATTCTAGCTGGTCACTGCACTCTGTAACTAAGAGAAATGCTGCTTGAGGTTCGTTGCTGTTTTTACCTCCTCCGTCACAATCCCTTTTCTTTTCGTGTCTTGGATTGTAAGGCTGAAGGCAAGAAATGTTTTATCGCTGACATCTAGGAGTGGGATAAAAGTGCCTTAAGTAAATAAAGTGTTTAAAAATGCAATTTCCTATTCTGTTAACAAAGGATTAATGTTCTTCCTTTATTTCCAGAAGGCTGAAACTGCAGAAGGACAGACACCGGCAATTGGACCAGATGGTGAAGTAAGATCCAATAACAACAACAATAATCATAATAATATTCTCCCTATTCATGACTTTTCTAGCCACAGTTTAGTGTGCTCATCTGTAGCCATTGGTCATAACACTCTAAAGTGCTATGGAGCAGTCATCAGATACTGTTCCGTTTCATTCCTTCCCTATGTCCCAATTCCTTATAATAGCTAAATGGATATTCCATGTTCAGAGACAGTTACCAAGAAGGACACAACAGCCCAGGGGCTGAGTGCTTTGGCCTTCATGCCCTGCTTAACATGCTGCTGGACTAGAAAAGACCAATGGGGTGACCTGACATAGGCAGTCTTTGTGTTCCCAGTGTGCTCTCACTACTTGTGCATCTAGTCTGACCATCAAGAGCAGCACTGTATTTATATCCTTGAAGGATTTCGGGGAGTTTTGTACTTTATAATCCCAAGCAAATGTTAAGGACGTTCCATTAAAAAGGCATTGTTCCCTTCCACTAAACCCAAGCCAGAGCCACCATGTTCTTAGACCTAAACAGAAGAATCGTATAGAATACTTTACCAGAGCCCTGTCCAGCCATCAAGGCATGAAAATGACAGTTTCAAAAATGGAGAGCAACTGCCTATGTTGCTTTTGTGCTGGCAATAACCTCTTCTCATCCTGTAAGTTCTGTTGCATGCCTTTTCAATGTTTGGTCCTTTCCTTACGTTCTTTTATATGTTTTACTTCCCACTGAAAAGCTCATCTGATTTTGTGGAGCAGATTCCTTGGTGGTGGTAGCAGGTTACACCTGAGGCTCAGGATCCGTGTCCTGAACCTTGGTCTGTTTTGGATTGTCTGGACCAAGCGGAAGGCATGGGAACCCGGCACTTGAGCCACAGGCTTAGATTAAGGTTTCTGACTATGTGGAAATGAACTTTGGAGGATAGCCAGCAGCAACATTCACAGGAGAAAATTGAAAGAAATGTTAAAAACAAGTTTCTGATTGCTTCTTGAAAATCAAACCTTACCTGGTAGGCTAGAGGCTGTACAGTGGTGCCTCGCAAGACGAAAATAATCCGTTCCGCGAGTCTCTTCATCTAGTGGTTTTTTCGTCTTGCGAAGCAACCCTATTAGCGGATTAGCGCTATTAGCGGTTTAGCGGCTTAGAGGCTATTAAAGGCTTAGCGGCTATTAAAGGCTTAGCGGCTTAGCGGCTAAAAGGCTATTAGCGGCTATTAAAGGCTTAGCGGCTATTAAAGGCTTAGCGGCTAAAAGGCTATTAGCGGCTTAGCGGCTTAGAAAAGGGGGGGAGCGAAAAAAATCGCAAGACTCGCAAGACGTTTCCGTCTTGCGAAGCAAGCCCATAGGGAAAATCGTCTTGCGAAGCGCATCGAAAAACGGAAAACCCTTTCGTCTAGCGGGTTTTTCGTCTTGCGAGGCATTCGTCTTGCGGGGCACCACTGTACTAACTTGCCACAGTCAACCCAGCTGGTGGTTCTTTACAAACTTGTCAAACTGCCCAACATTTTTGGTAGTTTTCCCTCAGACTAAGCATTTATATACCATTAATACAAAGAAAAGACAGTAGTTATATCATTAGAGCAGCAGGTCTCTTACAGATCAAGGACTTTGCCTGTATAGTAAAGGAATAACCCTTCCTGTAAGATCCTAGCTAAATTAAACTGATAAGCCATTTAATTTATATCCATGCAAGTAACAAAAGGCAACTAGTTCTAATTCTAAAAACAACTAAATTAAATATATATATATATATATAAAATATTTAGGAATAAGAAAATGAAAAACTCAAGAAAACGATGTAATAACTTCTTCCACCTCCAACAGTCAGTTAGAAATGAGTATATTCAAACAGCTGTTGTGATGACCTCATTTACCAACCAGCATTGTTGTCTAAGCATGACTTCATAGAGGAAAGAGAGAAGAATGGTGATTGGCTGACTAGATGTTCCTGCTTATAGGGGCTTTCCACAAGCTTTATATGATCATATTTCAATATCTGCTTCTTAGGAGGGTCAGCAGAATCATTAGCCTGAAGAAGTTAGGGTTGCCTGCTGCCCATATTAAAAAAAACCTCAAATAGCATGTTTTTGTGCTTTTCAACAAAGATTGTTCTTCAGAAATCTGCCAGTGAAGCTTAATATGAACATAGCTGTTTCACTGCGGTTAAAGGCAATTTGAGCACCAGCTCTCCGAAAACAAAACTGCTATTGAACAAGTGAGCAGAAAATAAATGAGCTGCTTAAGCAGAAAGATGAACTAATGAAAAAGCTTGAAAACTTGTTGTTGAAAATTAAACAGGAAACACACAAGTGCTGCCTCACGCAAAATGACCTCAAGAGTATTGTCAATGTGTTGAAAGTGATGGAGAAACAGTTTAAAAAGGAGACTCACCACCATGTTGAAATACAGCTAAGTTTGAAAAATGAGCTCTGCAAGGAACATGAAGGTTTTGGAAAAGATCATGAAAGGGCTGGAGATGAAAGAAATGGTACCTAGGCTTCAACGAGAAACTGTGGAAAAAGAAGAGCTGAAGAATCAACTTAAAAGAAGCCAAAGAATAAATTGCATGTCTAAACAAGTAACAATGATATAAAACTGCTTAAGGCTCAGTATGAGAAACATCCAGCTTATGAGAGGACCATCAAAGCCCAGACTCTAAAGAAGCTGGCTGTAGTCATTTCAGTCCAAGTCTCCTGGTCCTTATTTGCCAGCTGCTTCCCTATTGCAGCTTCACTGCAAACAGACCATAGATTTTCAGCCATTTAGATAGTATCATAATCATCATAATTTTATTTGTGTGTCAACGTGAGAAGATTTACATAATTACACACTTAACAAAAGTAGTCATAATAAATAAAACACATTACACAACCGAATTTATTTTAAATAAAAATTATTATAAAAACAAACATACACAACCAAATTGAACAGTTTCCATATAAATCATAATATGATCTAAAAATAGAGATACAAAAAATTAATATCTATAACAGCAACAGCGAAACAGCCCCTAAACTGTACCCCAACCCAAGAGTTTGTTTCAGCAGCCTCAGCTTTTGTAGCTGTTCTCCCAGGCCAAGTGGGGAAAGCTAGCAGGGCATAGAGACAGCATTGCATGTACTCACTAATTTCTTCTGACCCTTTGTCTATTCTAATCAAACATGTGAAGCACTCCAAAAGCTGCAGGAATGTGCAAGTTTCCCTGTCCTTGTCCAACAAAGTGTCCACTATGTCACAAAAGCTCTCAGGAAGCCATTTCCCCCCATAGAATTATAGTGTTGGAAGGTACCTTGAGAGTCCACCCCCTGCAATGCAGGAATCTCAACCAGATCCTACATGCCAGGTGACCAACCAACTTTTCTTAAAAAGGATGCATTAACAGTACCATCATTGGGGACCCTCATTTTTTGTACTGTGGGAATATAAAACAATAAGTTCAACACACATTTGTGTTTTTTCAGCCTTTGGATGAAACCAGCCAAATGAGTGACCTACCTGTCAAAGTGATCCATGTAGAAAGTGGGAAAATTCTTACTGGCACGGATGCACCAAAAGCAGGACAACTAGATACTTGGTTAGAAATGAATCCTGGGTAAGTTGCCAAAAGATTTAATCCTTTGTATTTTGCCATGAAATTAGCACCTTGTAACTGCATCCTGTTTGTTTGTTTGTTTGTTTGTTCAAAAGTCATATTCATGGGGTTATCCACTACTTCTGAACTTTGTTAAGAAAAGCTAGCTTGTAATATGCCTCTAAGTTTTGTCTTCAAAAGGGGATAATTGGTATAGCAACAGCTATAAGCCTCAGATGCTTAAATCAGAGGTTTTCAAGTTGTGTTCCTCGCACCCTTGGGTGACAGCGATTGGTCAGGTATGCCGTGGGAGGGCCCTCCTTCTCCCTCCCTCCCTCTTGCCATCATTCTTGCATATCTGCAAATCGATCAATCTTTGTCTCTTTCCCCACCCCAGTCCAGCCTGAATCATGCTGCTGCTCCTGCTGTTCCCACTTACATGCACATCAAAAACCGCACCCAAAAAGGGTGGGGTGGGGCAGGGCGGAATGTGGGGGGGGGATGGGGCGGAACAGGGAAATACCTACATAAAATCCCCTGTAATGGAACCCCAGTGTACATGGCTACCACGGGGGAGCCGCAGATAGAATGTGGTTGGTCAAGGGCACTGTGGACTCAAAAAGGTTGAAAACCACTAGCTTAAATCAAGCTTCCCTATAAAGAGACAGTAAATCTGGCTACCAGTTTCTAGCAAGGCATCTCAGATGCCTCCAGCTGTTCACAGTTGGGGGGGGAAAGGATGCTGGCCTTAGGTAGCTCCTTGATCTGATCCCATAGGGCTCTTCGTATGTATTTGGGGCTCACATTCATGAAACCTTCCTTTGGTTGGATGGCATGTGACAGAGCAAGTGTTCTCTTTGTTTGATTTTCCAACTTAGCAATATTGCCCTAGTTTGGAAATCCCAAGTCAGAGCTTCCCTCACTGTGTAGGGAAACAGAAAATTTGATTTGTGGTGAACTTAGATTTTGCTTGTTTGTCAGAGAAGCATTTTTCCCTTCCAGCCTTGTTCCTATCTAATTTTTTCCCTGTGTTATCCATATTAGCCATTTTAATATCTGTTTAAATAGATATGAAGTAGCACCAAGATCTGACAGTGAAGAAAGCGGATCCGAAGAGGAAGAAGAGGTATGAAGGCATGGCTCAGCTTTCACATAATTTCCTTGATCACGTTCTGTGCAGATATAGCAGATAAGCCAGAAGACTGCTGTGGAGGCATGGTCAATGCCCACAAATTGTATCTACATAAATTCCATGTTAAATATTACAATATACACAGGCTGTGGTTCTTGAGATTTTGCCTGCGGTTGGTCAGTGTGTACAAGTATTTCAGCAGACTGTCCTTCTAATTAAGACAGCATTGAAAGCATTTTGATTTTACGTCGGTATACGTATCAAAACTGATGCAGTTTCTGTTTCTGACAGGAGGAGGAAGAGGAACAACCACCGCCTTCTCAGTCCGCTTTACCTGTGGAAGAGAAGAAGAAAATTCCAGATCCAGATAGCGATGATGTATCTGAAGTGGATGCAAGGCACATTATTGAGTAAGGCTCACATCATCCCTCCGTGTTTATGTTACCAACTATCTTTCAGGTTTCCCTCTAAATATAAGTGAAAGTGTCAGATGAAGGTGTTGGTCTCTTCCTTCACTGGAGGTTTTTAAACAGAGGTAGGGAGGTTATCTTGTCAGGGATAATTGAGCCAAATAACTGTTGGGGTCCTTTCCAACTCTACAATTCTGTGATTCTAATGTATAAGTTCACCCCACAAGTAGAAGAGGGCAGAGTCTGTGCTTGTAAGTCTACCAAAGTGTCTGAAATCAACACACACAAAGACTTGAATGCCAGGAGCAGAAAGGCTTGAGCAGAGGTTACCCTTCTTCTGATATCTCTTGTTCTTGCCCTAACTTTCCTACAGCCCACTTTCAAAGGGGCAAAAGGAAGAATTTTCCATCTACAGTCAAGGAGTCGAAGACTCTCCCTTTCTCTCCCTCTCTCTCTCTCCTCCCCAAAAGGATAGGAGTTGGGGAAAGGACCTATTACTCTCCACCCCCATATACACGTAGGTATCAGGGATACCATAGATGCAGGATTAGTAGCTGGGTCTGGTTGTGTAAATTATTTTCAGCCTGCCTTTCTGGCTGACAGGAGGCCTTCAAGGTAACCAACAGAAAGTGAAAATTAGTGCACAGTAACATACAATACAATTATTTTTAAATAGAGTCATGACTTGTGAAAAATTAAGGGAATGTTTATTTAATTTATCCACCATACAAATTTTTCATCGCAAGCTGATTTACAGTAAAAGAGGCAATACATTTCAGTAACAAGCTAAGGATAAAAATAACTTATATAACTGATTGGCTAAAAAATATAGCACAGCAGCAGCATCAGATCCCCCAGTCATTCACCTAAGAGAGAAGCAGGTTATAGATCACTTGAATGATCCTAGAAGAGGGGATCCACGGTGCTGTGTAGAGTTAGATCTGCCCTCACTGTCCTTGTACAGTGAAACATTGATTTTCGAATGTAATCTGTTTCGGAAATCAGACTTCCGAAACATTTGAAAACCAAGGATCAAAGGGCTGTTCAATGGGGGAAATTGAGAAACGCACCTCAGATGCCATTCGACTTCCGAGGCATGTTTGAAAATGGAAGCATTCACTTCCTGCTTTTTGGCGTTCAGCAGCTGAAATGTTCAGCAGCTGAGACGTCCAAAAACCGAGGTTTGTCATGCCAGTTTCCAACCTAAAACACTTATCTCCCACATTTAGGTTGATCCTATACAAAAAAATACACAGCAAACCAACCAACCAATAACCCTGCTCAAACAAACAATTGTCTTTGTCACCCTGCACTATAAAAGGTTAAGTTTTCTTTTAAATGTTCTAAGTTAGTAAGAACAGAAAAGACCCTGATGTTGGGAAAGATTGAGGGCACAAGGAGAAGGGGACAACAGAGGGTGAGATGGTTGGACAGTGTTCTCGAAGCTACAAACATGAGTTTGACCAAACTGCGGGAGGCAGTGGAAGACAAGGAATGCCTGGCGTGCTCTGGTCCATGGGGTCACAAAGAGTTGGACACGACTAAACAACAACAAGAAGTTAGTAAAGGTTTTGCCAGTTAGGTATATGATCCAAGTTTACCCCCCCCTCTCATTTTTTCTCTCACTCTTAACCCATTTCCCCAACCTCTTTAATTTTTTCCCTTAGGAATGCAAAGCAAGATGTTGATGACGAGTATGGAGTGTCTCAAGCCCTGGCAAGGGGGTTACAGTCTTACTACGCTGTGGCTCATGCAGTCACTGAAAGGGTGGACAAACAGTCCACTCTCATGGTGAATGGTGTCCTCAAGCAGTATCAGGTGAGAAACTGAAAGCAAGGCCCTTTGCTTCAGAGCAGTGTTAGCTTAGGCACTTGTGCTGGGTGTAGATGTGCTTAAAATTGCAAAAGAGGAAGCAAGTATTGACAGTATTTTCTCTCCATTTGTCCAGAAACGTGTGAGCATTTCTTTTTCTTTTCCCATAGATTAAAGGTTTAGAGTGGCTAGTATCCTTGTACAATAATAATCTAAATGGAATCCTGGCAGATGAAATGGGTCTGGGTAAGACAATCCAGACCATTGCTTTAATTACATACCTCATGGAGCACAAACGTATCAATGGACCGTTCCTCATTATAGTACCTCTGTCGTAAGTATTCCTGTTGGATCCATCTGCCACTTAAGGATTGTCACATTCAAACGCTTCTGTGTTCATGCAAAATATCTTATTGTAGTATATCACCATTATAGTTCTAATGCAGCCATCTGGGCTGGTCTGCTTCGTGCAGAAATACGAACAAAATATGGTCACCAAATTCAGCAAACTTGATAGAAACAGGGCGAGACTAGCAGAGTATGTGTGGCGATAGTATAAATAACTTTCAGAATTGGGAGTGTTAAAGATTAGACCTGTTAAGCATAGCAAGAAATCGCTGAGGGAGTGTGGCTGGTATAATGCTGGAAGTATGATTTAACTCAGACTTAGCAAAAAGCTGGTTTGCACTAACCACTGCATGGCCACTTTTTGAGGCAAGTTACTAGGCCAGATTAATCCCATTCAGTTCTTTGATCCCATGTAACTATATAGTTGATTGATTTGAATCAGGTGATCAGAAGTCAAAAAGTGCTATGAAATGTGTAAATACTGTATTTGAAGTGCCATTGGGAACTAGTCTGCTTGGTATTATTCCTCCAAAGCTTTTAGTGTTCTATTCTTAAGAGGAACTAGGTCCATAATTCATATCGTTATTTGATGCATTATTTGCAAGAGAGACGGCAAAAGCATTGCATGAACTTTGCTAATAAAACAAATGGCTGCTTGAAAAACAAGTTTGCATGTCAAACTCTGTTTCAGGATCGGTGAAACTGACTCTTATCTCCAGCTGACCAAATCACCCGATAAACTGGCAGTTGTGAATGCACATTTGTAATGCGCTTTTTTGATGTGCTATTTTAAAGGGGTTGTATGCAGTTCTTGTTTTTTAAACTGCCAATCTTCGTATCATGTGTGGTTCGTGACTATATAAAATGGAGTCCTTGCTGTTTTTCTGTTCTAGAACTCTCTCAAACTGGGCATATGAATTTGATAAGTGGGCTCCTTCTGTGGTTAAAGTCTCATACAAGGCAAGTATTGTGGTTCAGATTTTCATTTCAAATTTGTCAAGATGGAATGATGAGTCAGTTATGATTCCCCAGCTTCCTCTGACTGAAAGCAAATTGTTGCATTTCCCTGTACATTCAGAAACAACTGTGGCATAATATTGGGGGCGGGGTCACCTTCCTGTTTCTTAAACTACTCTTGCCCATCAGTGTAACAGGACTGCTACAGAGAAGCTTCTTCTAAAGTTAAAGAGAGAAAATGCTTATTTTTTTCTGGCAGTTGTGACGTCCAGCATATTTGTTTGTGACCCAAAGTTGTCAGCCCTCCCCCAAAGCCTCTTGCTTTTCAACTTCTTTCCTGCAAATAACACACAGCTTCCCCCCACAATCCCTCAGACCTGTGTGTGAAAAGGAAATTTCTGTTTCCTTAAGTGGTATGCATCTTCATCAGCCCTTCTCCATTAACCCTTCTTTCTCAGTCATCTCCCTGTACCTTCTGCCTTTTTCTTCAGTGCTCCTTTTTAATTTACCTTTCCTGTTCCTGCTGATTTGTGCAGTGTCTGCTTTTCTTATAATTCCTTCCAGCCTATCAGCTCTACATTCCTTATATCTAAGTTTCCCTCAGCCTCAGTCTTTCCTTTGCTAAAACTGGACTGCAGACAACTTTGCTAAAATGCTCATGTTCATATTAGATCGTCACTCCCCAAACTTCAGAGCATGGGAAGACACCCAAAGATATATAATTTGGCCTGAATATTTGGCTTTTTTATTGTGTTATAATTTGGAATGTTTTAATGTGGGGTTTTTTGGATGGTTAAAATGGAAAACTTAATAAATATTATTTTTTTATTAGAAAAGAAAAGAAGGAATGCTCATGTTGTAGCTCAGCCAGACAGAGTCAGGGGTTTCACAGCCACAACTGCAACACAAATGTCAATTATTTCTCCAAATTATGTGCTTAGTTTTTCTTAATTCTTTTTTGTTAGGGCTCTCCGGCTGCAAGGCGGGCATTTGTACCTCAGCTTCGAAGTGGGAAGTTTAATGTTTTGCTCACTACATATGAATATATCATCAAAGATAAGCACATTCTTGCAAAGGTGAGGCTTTCCTATTTGAAAGCAGGATTTGCTGGTGTGTTGATTTTCCATTAGTTCTAGAAATGAATCATTGTGGTATCCTAAAGGTATAGACAATATTAAACAGCTTTTCTTGCAGAACCAACATTAAGTAATATACATTATTAGTATTAGAAAAACAGATAAATGAAGCATTTACAACATCCCCCCACCATGCATAACATTTTATTGATTACTGAAAAATGGAGGACCCTTGCTTATTTTGTCCTTTTAAACCAGGGACAGGGAACCTATGGCTCTCCAGATGTTGTTTCCTTGACCACCGTCAATGTTGGCTTCGGCTCATGGGAACTGGAGTCAACAACTGGCAAGCCACAGGTTTCCCCATCCCTGAATTAAACTGTGGTGTCTCCTCTCCCAGTCGCTTGATCTTCAAGATGGATCATGTCAGTTATGCCTTCTGAAGCAATTCAAAGTGGCAGGCCCCTCTCCTCTCTGATTAAGAGCAGATACCCGTCTCACCCATAATGAAAGGGAGAAAGAAAGAGTGTAGAGTACGTGTGAATACGTTGGTTTTTTAAAAAGAAGAGTAATTCAGCTAATGCAAAAGGCACTTGTTGCATATGGTACTGTGGTTGAATATGATATGCAATCTCTTGCTTCTCAGTTCTCATTTGGGTGAGATACTTTTGCTGCAGTAACACCTGTACAGTATTATTTGCTCATTGGCTGCAGTTTGTCTTGGTTGCATGAATAACACTGCATGTGCTCTGTTATGTTATGTCCTTATTAATTTTTCAATAAAAAGCAATATTGAAAGAACAAAAGCAAATAACAGCTTTTGTCAGCCCACATGTCAGCTGCCTTGTATGGCTCATTAACTTCAACTGCAGTCATCGAATCCTTTGCCATAAAGCAACAGCAGTGGCCTGGGAGATGTTGCCAAGATGGGGTATTAAAGGTAAAGGTACCCCTGCCCGTACGGGCCAGTCTTGACAGACTCTGGGGTTGTGCGCCCATCTCACTCAAGAGGCCGAGGGCCAGCGCTGTCCGAAGACACTTCTGGGTCACGTGGCCAGCGTGACAAGCTGCATCTGGCGAGCCAGCGCAGCACACGGAACGCCGTTTACCTTCCCGCTGGTAAGCGGTCCCTATTTATCTACTTGCACCCGAAGGTGCTTTCAAACTGCTAGGTTGGGCAGGCGCTCGGACCGAACAACGGGAGCGCACCCCGCCGCAGGGATTCGAACCGCCGACCTTTCAATCGGCAAGTCCTAGGCGCTGAGGCTTTAACCCACAGCGCCACCTGCGTCCCCAAGATGGGGTATTAATAAGTGCCAATTCACAACTTTCTCATCATGATTACATTTGAGTAATTGCTCACAAGAGCCATAGCACTAGTACAGCCTATGTGGGATGCTTCAGAAGTCCCATTTCTCTGGAGCATTTGAGGATGGTGAGAATTTCCCCGTCTTCAATATTTCCATTATATTGATTCTACCTGTTATATTGCTTCTACAAATTAGTGGCATAGCGAATATTCCCCTGCATTTTTCTTAGGTGCAAATTAAAACTGAACTAGTTTAACAGATACCTAGCTACATCCAAACTATCACCTGGCTGTGGGGTGAGCTGTACTGTATTGAAAGCCTAATAATCATACCTGAGAAGTAAACTCTTAAGTAGATTTGGTTACTGTCCTGCATCATCAGATTCGTTGGAAGTACATGATTGTTGACGAAGGTCACCGAATGAAGAACCACCATTGCAAGCTAACCCAAGTCCTGAATACACACTATGTAGCTCCACGTCGTCTGCTTCTCACAGGGACTCCACTACAGAATAAGCTGCCTGAACTATGGGCTCTGCTCAACTTTCTCCTTCCAACTATCTTCAAGAGCTGTAGCACATTTGAACAGTGGTTTAATGCTCCTTTTGCCATGACTGGAGAAAAGGTAAGTGAAGGAAGAAGCATCTACCAGCGTTTTTCACCCAGGGTTTTTCACTCCAGGCTCTGGAGTCATTCCCTGTTGGTCCCATGAAATTTTGCAACCTTCACTTTCCCCTCCTCGCACTGTCCAGTCACCCATATACATTACCAGTTTTTATTTAATTTTTCTTAGGGGGAGGGGGTTGGATTTCTTTAGGGTGTCACAATGTGATAGAGATGTCATACAAAAAAAAATAAATACTGTTTTTAACCAATTTGATTTTTAGAGTCTTGTGATTCTGTGTGACTCCAAATAGTTTTATTGCAATGATTAGGTCAGTTGGCACAACATTTCTAACGTTTTGTACATTCTTTTAGTGAGCTCAAGCGTTAGGCCACATTTACTTTTAGAATTGACTTCGCTGTTGACTGTCTTAGTATACATGCATGCAGCATGCTGTTCTGATCAGATGCAATGGTGAATTTCCTTTCAAGGCCTCTCTTCCACTGTGTATTGTTCACTATAGTAAGTACCGATGAGACTGCAATTAACCCATAGCAGAAGGCACTGCTAAAGAAAAACACCTTTCTGGTGTTCGTTTTTAATATTTTGCATTTCAAACGTCAGTGCTCACTCTGAGGTAGAGTTTTAAAATACTATGCCAATTTTGTGTACGTGTGCATTTGACACTTCAAATAGTTTGGGGCAGAAGATGAATAGGGATAGAAGATCCACATTTTCCCTGTGATTACATTTGGTTTGACTTCTGGGTGAACATTTTCCTCATTCCAAGCCCTTTAAGAGAACTGTATCATTTCTCCCTCACTCCTGCCCTCCTCCTCCTGTGGCAGCATGTATGTGAAGGCGGGAGAGGGGGGAAATGTGAGAGTTTATTTTGGGGGAAGTGGATGGGATATATATACACACTTATAGTGCTGTTACAGTCTGTTATTTTGTTTTCAGTCTATGCAAGATGTTTCCTCTAATTTGCCATGTTGTAATCTTGATGCTCACAGCATTTTAAGTCAAGGTTACAGATTGGTAAATTAGAGTATCCGTAACCAATGGTGACTTGGGGCCAAATGAAGCAGACTTGCCTCTCTGAAGCCAGGTTGCTGTCAATCAGCGAAGGGGCTGTAGAATTTGAAAGAGAGAAATGGATGGCAGGAGGAATCTACTAAAGCTTCACCCTTCCGTTCCCTGCTGCTTTTCCCTTAAGAGACAGCACTCATATCTGTTGCAGCAAAAAGGCTGCCTGGAACCCCCGCTGGGAAAGGGGGTTGTAGGGGAAGCATCAGGTGCAGGAGGGGTTAAGCACTCTGCCCTCTTTGACCATTTTATAGCTCTTTGGTAGTCTGGATTTGCTTTCAAGGATTTTCTTCAACCCTGCTGCATTTATCTATCTATTGATATGTGAGATTGCGTAATTGCTACGGCGATGGTGATCATTTTAGGGGATTAGAGATGAATCAGTGAAATGAAATTTTTTTGGTTCATGGTTTTATTGTTTATTGTTAACATTATACTTAATAACGATAGTATGGGCTTTTTGTTTGAAAGTGATCATACTTTTTTTTCTAGTGATGTTGGGAAAATATATTTAAATAACACTTGTTTCCTTGAATCTGCATGCAACTAAAAACAGGTGGATTTAAATGAAGAAGAAACGATTCTGATTATCCGTCGTTTGCACAAAGTGTTGCGTCCCTTCCTGCTAAGAAGGTTAAAGAAGGAGGTAGAAGCACAGCTGCCTGAAAAGGTAACATTTAAAAAGCAGGCAATGTTCCAGCTCTTAGTAGAATCTTTCATATCATGTTGTCCATATGCAAGTTCTTCTGCGTGGCATCATTCCTAGTTCACTTGTTTTGAAGGGGCTGCTGGAGATTCTGTTTCATCAAGGAAAGTCTGTAGAGAGGCTTGGGACATGGGAGGCGTGATGGTTCAGTAGAGTGGCAGTTCAGTACCAAACTAAAATGGTTCTTTGGTAGCTGAGATGGGAAAGACCTAGAGCTGGAAACTTGGAGAGCCACCAACAGAATGTACAGTACAAGAGTAGACAAATAAATGGCTTGTCTCAGAATAAAGCTTGGTCTGTATCAATGGACCATTCACGTAATTTCAAAGAAGGCTGGGGTACTGCTACTAAAGACATCTTTCATTACTTCAGGCTTAAGATGCTCCTCTGTGTGCTTTTGACTTGTTGCGGCTTTTTTTGTCTAGAATTTAGGATTGTGATGCTCCATCCCCAACACAGAGCCTGGAATCTGTTGTAATATTTAACTTCGTGGGAATATTTCTGTCTTGTATTCTGTTTGTAGCTCTTGTGGTTGCAGAGAAAAATCTGAGCACTGCATAGTTTGTGGGAGGAAATGAAGCCCTCCTTTTGGTGCAGCTGTCTTCATTCTGTAGGGCTTGACACAAGATTAATTGAAAAGAAAGATGACAAAAAATGAGTGTGGAACGAACAGTTCTGGCAGTATTTTGTCCTTCACTCTCAATGCACACACATACCACATCCAAAGATCACAGCGCAATTCAAAACATAAAAATACAAAATGAAAACGAACTGCATACTAAAACAAAAAAAACCTTCCCACAAACCCATTTTAAAGGCCATAGAATTTACTTGGTTGGCGTATTCTGCATCCTAGATCAGGGGTGTAGAACTCAGAGGCTGATAGAATAAGAGCTTTCTGATTCAGTTATGGTATTTGATCTCTCCCAGGGTATGCTTGGATCCTACTCCATTGAGCTGCACTGACTACTACCTCTTCCCTTTCAGAATGAGATCACAAACGGGGCATGTCCTGAGTCTTTTTGATTCAATCTTTCCTTATACTTTTGCTAACAGCTGCTTCCTGGGCATCTGACCCAGGAGAGATCACATGAGGTCCAGTTGACTATTAGATATCAGAAAGACTTGCTGTAATGAGTTTTACAAGCAACAACAACAACCATCCTAAAGTTGATGACTTAAGGCAAATTTATCCATAGAGGAATCCCAAACAAATGTTGTTTGGCAGAAGTTGACCTAACTGCCTTCATCTCAGCATCACTGTAACTTATCACCATTGTCAGTGTCATCACAGATCCCTATATTGTGTGTAGGGTAGATGAGATACTTTCATGCAGATGAGATCCTCACATCTGCATGCAATGCCAAATTTTGCCCCCTAGGAGGGCTCTCTTCTGACAGATCTGCTAGCTACATGCATATCGGCTTCCAATGCAATCGGAGGAGTCATCAGTCAGGAAGTTTGGGGCCCTTTCATAACTTCTGTAATTCTTGCTAAACAACTAAGAGAGATTCACCACCACCATGGTGTTTCCAGCTCAAAGGTCTTCATATTTCCATGTTGGTATTGTATAGGGCTTGGCTCTTTCTCACCTTTCTGCAACACAAGCCGTCCTTATAAAACAGACATGGCCACGGAGAACTTACATTTTTTTTGTTTGGTCTTATAGAATCTTTGGACATACTCGGTGGGTATGACCACAGAGATTACAAAGCCAACTTTTCAGCCACCACAGTTCCAATACCTGAAAACTGAGTCTGCAAACTCTGGTGGATACAGATGCATGCCTTAACACAACCTGTTAAGAAATTAATCTGACTATAAACACTATTCTGAAGGGGAAATTGTGGTACTCAAATCTGCCCCAGTTCTGTTTGGTTGTCTGCTATGTCCTAGGATTTGCCCAGCAGCTCTCTTACTAGCTCTTTTCTGTGAAAGGGTGCTCCAGAAATACATTAATATTAATATAGTTTTTAAAAATATCTTTTAATATACTAGGGGTTGTGCCCCTACTTACATTGCTCGCCAACTCCCTCCCTTTGCACCCAGCCAAACCCCACCCTCCCTTTATGCCTGTTCAACCTCCCTTAAATCCTTCCTTTACTCTTTAACCCCTCAAAAATCCCCCTCCTCCCTTTATACCCCCAAACTCTCCTGCTTCATGAAGCCCCACTTTGCTGTACAACGTGCCTCCCAAAATCCTTCCTCCAGCTCACCCAAAAAAAAACTTCCCCTCACAGCTTGCCAAAACCACCACTCCCTTTACATGTCGCCAAACCCCTATCCCTTTTGTCCCTGTCCCTCACTGCTGCTGCTGCTGTGTTGAAGCTGTGGGGGGAAGGAGAGAGGGAGGGAAATGCATTTTGAAATTCAAGCTTCCTTCTCTCTTTTTACAAGGCAGGAGAGAAGAAAGCTGCTTATTTCCCTTCGCTTCCCAGTCTAATGCTGCTGACCAATTAGAGAGTAGAAAGTGCATTTTAAAATGGGGCAGGAATGAAGGGAAAAATCTTTCTCTGCTTTGTTTCCCTCCCACCCCCACCAGTAGCAATGAGGAGCTCAGGAAACAAGCTGGACCTGCTCCAAATCTTTCCACCCCACCCCTGCCTCAAGTGCCCCCCATCCTAAATTTGTGCACCTGGTTATTCCTGTCTAAGTTCAGAACCTTTCATTTGTCCCTGTTAAAAAGCATTTTGTTGGGTTGGGCCCAGTTTTCCCATCTGTGAAGGTCATCTTGCATCCTGATTCTGTTTTCTGAAATATGAGATACCCCTCCCAGTTTGTTGTTGTCTGCAGATTTGATTAGCATCCCCTCTATTCCTCATCCAAGGACAGAACCCTGTGGCACCCCTCCTGTTACTTTTTTCCAGGATGACGAGGAACCATTTGTTCGGGGCTCTTTGGAAAGCCTTATACCAAGTCAGAGACCATTGGTCCATCTATCTCAGTACTGTATACACTGACTAGCACAGGCTCTCCAAGGTTTCAGACAGAGCAACTTTTCCAGCCCTACCTAAAGGTACCAGGGATTGGATTGAACTTAGAACCTTCTCCCCAACCGCCCCCCAAATACTGCTACTCAAAGATTTCTACAAGTCTGAAGACACTGAAAGCAATGAAATCTTCCAAACTCAGGAAGGTTATTTGGATCCATGCTTTGTGAATCTTTGTGAATGCAGTTTCATGAATTAATATCTCCTCTCTCTGTTCACAACAGGTGGAATATGTGATTAAGTGTGATATGTCTGCATTACAAAGGGTACTTTATAGACACATGCAAGCCAAGGGAGTGCTGCTTACAGATGGATCAGAGAAGGACAAAAAGGTTTGGATTTCAGCCTGTTTCTCTAATGTACAGTAAGGATGGGCATCTTACTGCCAGGTCTAGTCAATTAGTGTTTTTATTCTTTTCATGCAAGGATTGTTGTGATGATAGACAATGTTTTTTCAGAGGGGAAGGCAGCCATTTTACTAAAGAATTTGGGTTTGGGCTCTTGAGGGCCTTCAGATTCATGATGAAGAAACATCAGCTCTCTTTACACAAGCCATTGAATGAACAATAATAGTATCTGACCATAACACTGTTTTGAAACGTAATTTTAAAATTTCTTACTAGTTCCAAAATTTGTAGCAATATCAGGGTGAGAAGCTTTCCTGTAGTGGTGCTCATTTTTTAAAACGTGATGCTGCAACATGGTTGCTTGAATAATTTTTGTGAAGAGGTGCACCTTCGTGGAATTATGTAATTAGCTTATCGGGTTGCACACTGCTCAAGCAAAAAAGCCAAAACAAAACACACACTTTGTGAAGTAAGGCAAAAGAAGGTCTCTGCCATGGTTCCTGTACTGTCCAACATTTGTTCCATGGTTTAATCCCTAGATAGAAAATGATAGATTTATTAGGAAGCACAGTGATGAAATATGCCTTAAATAGTTTAACACACACACACCCAATTTAGGTTTTGCTCACATTGGTATCAATAATTGTAGTTCACTTAGGAAGAAATGTTTGAGTAGTGCTGTCTTTATTTTTCCAGGGCAAAGGTGGTACAAAAACGCTCATGAACACTATTATGCAGCTGAGGAAGATTTGCAACCATCCCTACATGTTTCAGCACATAGAGGTAAAGAAATGTTTTTGGTGTTGACATTTTCAGCCTGTTCAATGAGGGTAACTAGCAATGGTGGGCCAAAAGTATTGCTGGAATACTTGTTCTTTAGCAGAAATGAGGGACTTCAGCCCCCCCATGGTGTTGAACTACAACTCCCATCAGCCCCAGCCAAAATGGCCAATGGTTTGGGATGTTAGTTGTAGTCAAACATCATCTAAAGACCACAGGTTCTGCTTCCTGTCCTACAAAGTAGTTTGGGCATGGGATGTCTCGTAAACGTTAGATTGACCCACCATTTCTATTCAGTTCTGTCCCGCTCCCCCAACTTACTCTACCTTCTGGAACCTCCTTAATGCTGGGTCTTTGCTGTGCAGCTACATGGAAAATCTGACATGCAGTTGCATATTTCTTTCTGCTGTGACTTCCTGTGAGAATATTAAATATAGTTTCGGTAAGAAGGCAGCTCCTTCTCCACACTCATGCACCCACCACCCCGCTTTACCCCACAATTTGAAGATCCAAAAGTTAACTGTTTAGGCTCTTTTTAAGTTCTTATTCACGGAGGAGAGGGTTATCAAAAGCTGGCCATGATGGCTACACTGCCTCCACAGTTGGTGACAATAATGCTTCTGATCACCAGCTGCTGGAAACCACAGGGGAGACAGAGTGTTTTTGGGCTTGGATCCTGCTTGCAGGTTTCCCACAGGCATCTGGTTGGCCACTGTGAGAAGAGGATGCTGGAATGGATGGACCATTGGCCTGGTTCAGTAGGCTCTTAAAGTGGTTGTGTATAGTGTAGATCAGCCTTTACCAACCTAGTGCCCTTCATGTGCTTGGGACTGTTAACTCCCATTGACTGCAGTCAGCAAAGCCATCGTAGTTCTTGTTCAAAGGATATGGAGGGCACCCGATTGGCAAAGCCTGGGCTTAATGATGGAATCTTGGAATCTATATGGAAAGCTTACAGATGTGGAATCCAGTGGTGTTTGTTTCGTGTTCTTCTGTAGATATTTATGCCTCGTTGGAAAAGATTTCAAACCCAATTTCAAGCATCAATTTATTTGTAGGGTGCTTAGATTTTAAAATTGTCATAATAATGATTATGATAGCTGAAAAGTTAATTATTGTTTACCGTTATCTCTTTGCATGTTACTAAAGCATGTGGACCATTATCTCTTAGAGGAAACCATCTCTGAAATACTGTTTGGCCTGTTCTGTTCATGCTTAGACTGGCTTTTTTATGTTCTGTTGTAGGAATCCTTTTCTGAGCACTTGGGCTTCACTGGAGGCATTGTGCAAGGGTAAGTTGGCCACCACAAAGAATTTTAGGAAGTGCATGTTTTTCTTGGGTAATCTCTGAAACCAAATGCTGAAGAGGAGGAAGAGGAGGAGATTTTGGTGCCCTGTTTGTGAGCTTCCAGAGTCATTCGACAGGCTGCTTCTGAGTTATTGTGGGATCACTCACTGCTTTCTCTTCAGTAAAAGGATTTTGGTTAGGCTCAAAGTGCCATCAGAACCCCAAAACCCTCTATTGTTCATTGAGGGGTTCTGGTGAGTCCTTTATTTCTCCAGGAGAAAGACCAGGCCTCTTCTCATCACTGGGCACCAACACTTGCCAAGTGTTATGTTAGCCTGCCTGTTTTTAGCTTACAGAAGCCCTCACAATTCTGTTCCTAGTGTTCACATCCCTCCTTTTAACCGTTAAGTAAATTTCCCACTTGTAGTTCCATCTTCCGTGTTGGTTTGTGGTTCTGGTATGTTCCAGAATCCTTCTGTCTTTAGCTTTCAAGGTTGGTTGCTCTCAGTCATGTATCAAGCATGTATTACCCCCTTGGCTGTACCTTAAGGTACCTGAGAGCACCTGGGGACCCCACAGCTAGAAGACTAGTTATGATTAACATTTCCCCCTGAAAAACACTTATGTCAGCCTTTCCCTGCAACCTGAAGCTGTATAGAAGTATGAGTTATGTTCTAGAGCCCGCTTAGTGAAAGGGCTGGTACCGTGTTGTTTTTTGTTGTGATTATTGGCACGGTTTTAATAGATTTATATTTGTATATAGTTTTGATTCTATCAATGTTTAATTGTTTTTTTCATTATTGTCCCCTCTCCCCGTGTTTTTAGCAGTTCTTATTTTTATCTGTAAGCCTCCTTGAGTCCCTTAGGGGAAAAGACAGAGTGTAAATGAATGAATGAATGAATGAATGAATGAATGATTGAGCCACACTTTCAGTTCACACAGTTAAAAAGGAGATCCAGTAGGGCCAGGCTTTGTGTAAAATTGCTGTGCTTCCTGACGAATTCCCAGTATCCGCTGAACATACAAGACTTCCACCGCAAACACACAAGCATTGCTTGGCAGATAAATTGATGTGAAAGCAGGTCCCTGAAGACAGAATGTTAAAAGACGCTATACCAGAAGAAAACAGTTTCTTTGTTTCTCCTCCTCATGTTCTGAACCAGGCTTGACCTGTACCGCGCTTCAGGGAAGTTTGAGCTCCTAGATCGGATTCTTCCCAAGTTACGAGCTACCAACCACAAGGTGCTGCTTTTTTGTCAGATGACCTCCCTCATGACCATAATGGAAGATTATTTTGCTTACCGTGGCTTCAAATACCTCAGGCTAGATGGTGAGTTTTGCATTAGGGCCTGTAATGTTGTATTTTGGCACACGATTAATAAAGTACCTTTCTTCATGTAGTCTCTGTATGTCTTTAGTCAGGCTATGTGTGTGGAGCATTGTAAGAAAGTGAAACGCACCAACTTCAGTGCATAGGAAGGTTCTCTTGGCATGTGCAATTTTGGGGTGTGATCCTGAATGGCCCATGGGGTAGCATGTGGAGCCATCGCGTAGGAATTTGAGCTCTTCCCTCCCCCACTGGGCTCACTTCATGCTAAGCTTAGTGTTCTGGCTGCACCATTTCCAGTTCTTCCTCTCTGCTACAAACATTCACAAGTGGATTTCTCTTTCAAATTTCAGAATGGCAACCAGACACTGTCAAGTGGGCTGATTCCTTTACTTAAGTTACAGTGACCTGCCCTGGTTCTCTCTCCCCTCTATCCTGCAAGTCGTACTCTTTCCCAATGAGGCCCCCTTGCAGGTGGTTCTCTCTTGAAATGATGGGTCCTTTTTAAATAATGATCCCAAAATACCATTCATTTAAACATTCGGGCAGATAGGTTCCTCTATCACAAGAGGATTTGAGCACATTCCCTCTGTATTTATTCCTCTTTGGTTATGCCAGTCTTTTTTTATTTCAGTTTTCATGTTTCCTCTTTTTTTCCTTTAACTGGTTCCTTAATTAGTGGCAGTGACCCTGTTCACACATTTTCCCCATTTTAAGGATGGTTTGTGAGATAAGATCAAGAGCAGGTCTTGAACTCATTCCCCCTCAACACTTGATGCTTCACTTTACATGGGAATGAGGCCTTTATGGTGTGTTCCCAAGTGAATGCCATAAAGTTTGAAGTACAGTGGTACCTCGGGTTATGGACGCTTCAGGTTACAGACTCCGCTAACCCAGAAATAGTACCTCGGGTTAAGAACTTTGCTTCAGGATGAAAACAGAAATCGCGCGGCAGCGGGAGGCCCCATTAGCTAAAGTGGTGCTTCAGGTTAAGAACAGTTTCAGGTTAAGAATGGACCTCCAGAACGAATTAACTTAACCCGAGGTACCACTGTATTTACATTCTGACAAGGGACTGTCCAATAGCATCACGTGCTGCACATGTGACCCCCAACACTCGTCAGTAATGGGCGTCTGCTTGTATTGTGCTAGTAACAGAGAAGGCTAAGTGTAGCCAGAGTTGATGGCCTAAACTGGGCAAAACAGAAGCCTGTTTATGTCATCAGCATAGGCCCTGCATGGTTGCTACTTCAGCAACTACAGAGGCCTGGCAGATGACGTACCCTACTTTCCATGTCACCAGCAATTCTGACCTAGGAACTCGCTACATGATCCACCTGCACTGTGTGATTGTAGGTCAGTAAAGATTGCTAGTTGAGTCTGGGGGTCCCAACCATGCAGAAACAGCAGCCGTAACTCTTTCATAAATCGGCCTTAACATAGCCTGCCTCAATGGTTTCCTTGGTGAATGATAGTGGACAAAAGCAGGATGGTGCCATTTTACTGCAGGTACTGGTGTGCAGCTGAGTGTTCATTTCTATCTTATTCCCCTCTTATCCCCAGTTTGGAGTACAGAAGTAGGAAGAGGCAGGATTGGGAGAAAGCACCAGTACCAACTTCCCTGTCCTCTCTTTTCCCCTTCCCCCTCTCCACCCCACCCCAAGACAGTATCTGCTAATCCAAACCACCTGATTGTTCTCTGATTGTAAGTTGTCTTTCGTAATACCATTAGGAACTTGAATAGTTAAATTGATATGCAAGCTCTCCAGACATTTTGGAATGTGGGTGTATATCTCAACTTGGTTGGTTCCCAGTATAAAAAATACTTCCCCTCTGTGGACCAGTGCTATGCTTGCCCAGATTTCTGGGGTTCTTAAAGATGACAGGCTTTCTATTCAAACCAAAAGTTTGTCGCAGTGGGGGAAAAACCACTCTTGTCTCTCTCTAGGAACCACTAAAGCGGAAGACCGTGGCATGCTGCTGAAAACGTTCAATGAGCCGGGCTCTGAATATTTTATTTTTTTGCTGAGTACCCGAGCTGGAGGCCTGGGACTAAACCTACAGTCTGCTGACACTGTGATCATTTTTGACAGTGATTGGAATCCCCACCAGGTATTAATAAAATGCATTTGTGGGCTTCAGAAATGAAGTTTTTTTGAAACTGAATACTAGTATGCGAGTGGGGTGGGGTGAGGTTGGTAATGATAAATTTGTAGTATGCCTGTCTTATCTGTTGAGCTGATACAAAAGAAGCAGGGCTTTTCTGTGTCTTGCTGTACTTTGGTCAACAGTAAATGCACATTTATTTGATTACAGAAGTTCTGGATTTTCAACAGAATCTTGAATGTTAGCGCTTCTCTATAGTAAAAACTGAGGCCCTCTTGAATATGGCGGGGGGGTTGCTTTGTGCATGATGGGAATCTTGGGATAGAAATCTTCCTATCACCTCCTAAAGCAATCTGGCCTACACTGAACACACTATGCCATGGATGTCTTTGGGAAGCTCCTCACATAATTGATTAACAATGTTTCTTGTATCCCATGCTTCTTCCTAAAGGAAGCCCAGGGCAGCTGACTTAATGTAATACAGAAAAATACATAAAACCATTCAGCATTTAAAATATCAATTAAAATATATTTAAAATGGCATACTAATACCTTCAGCGCAGAGACCTCACAATTATGCCCCAAAGTCCTAGACAAAAGTTTTAACATTCTGCTTGAATGTAGCAAATCTAGCAGACTACCTATTTCAGCAGAAACAGACTTCCTTAAACAGGGCACTTTTGCTGAAAACACACTGTCCTAAATCACCTTGCCACCCCTGCTGATGGGACCACAAACAGGACCTCTCCCACCGATCATTAGTTTTGGGTCAGAAGCTATGGGGAAGGCACTCCTTCAGGTACTGAGGTCCCAAGTTACGGCTTTGTAAACCAAGATTTATGTAAAAAGTTTCTATATTACCCTTTGCCAGAGTTTCCAAGACATACACACACACAAATATATAAATAAAATCAGCTATTCCGATAACCCTGGTGAATGGGCCACAGAGTAGAACACTGGTCTTCAGTGGAACGGACAGGACACAATACTGGTTCACAGGCTGACCTAAGGTAAGTCACAGCAGCTTCACTACTACTATGCAAATGTATGGTGGTAAATTAAGAAGTGGGTTCTGAACAACACTGTTCTCACGTAGGTGCAACTTAATCCATTGGAGTATTGTGGGTTGAATCTCTCTAAAGTGCTCTGCATAAAAGCACATGAAGGTGATCGCTGAATTTTAACTACTCTCTGAACAGTGAGAGCTTTCTTCTTCCCTTTCTTAGGACCTGCAGGCCCAGGACCGAGCACATCGCATCGGGCAGCAGAACGAAGTCCGTGTGCTGCGCCTTTGCACTGTGAACAGTGTGGAAGAGAAGATCCTTGCTGCAGCCAAGTACAAGCTGAATGTAGATCAAAAGGTTATCCAGGCTGGCATGTTTGACCAGAAATCTTCCAGCCATGAAAGGAGAGCTTTTCTCCAGGCTATCTTAGAGCATGAGGAGCAGGATGAGGTAAGGGAGCAGTGGGGTGGTTTTTTTGCTTTCTCCTCCTCCAGCGTATGAGTGGTGAATGCATTGCCTAGCTTTGTGCTTTGTATGACGCTGACGCAAGGGACTGTGGGCTGGAAGGAAATGGCATGAACACTTGTCATGCTAGAAAGTGAATTTGAGTGTCAGTGAAAGGGGCTGGCTTGACAGCCCTGGAGACTGAAGTCCTCTATCTATCCACAGACCAGATACAGCACGGGCAGCGGCAGTGGCAGCGCAAGCTTTCCCCACACTGCCTCAACCCTGTGCCTCAACTCCGACTTGGAGGAACCACCTTTAAAGGTGAGAGGGGTCATTCAGTCGCCGCGCCTGTCCAGTCCTTCGCCTCACTGTGTTTTAAGACTGTCAGCAAAGTTGCCAACTCGGGTGGCGAACTTCCCTGTCCACTGAGACTACCCAGCTCGTTTTTACATGAGTAGCCAAATCAAATGTGAAATAGTAAAAACACATTCAATGTACAGTTTTGAGCAGTGAGTTGCCAAGGGCGCATCTCCATACGAGTTAAAAGGGGCTCTTTTGAAATCTTTCAGGAGGAAGATGAAGTTCCTGATGATGAGACAGTTAACCAGATGATTGCCCGGCACGAGGAGGAGTTTGACCTTTTTATGGTGAGAGTGACTGCCTTGCTTCTTGCATTTCAAACAGGTCAGCCTTATCTTCCTGCATTCAGTCTAGTATTAAGGTATACTGGAGGGGTGTTAAGTAGTGTTAAGTAAAAGCATGAGTCTGGGTTTAGAAAGCCTTCCAATAAAGAGAAGGGTTTTTTTGGGGGGGGGGAGAAAATACAAGGTTTCTGCAAATTCTGCCCTTGCAAACCCTTTGAGTTCATTCAATTAACTGATTATACTTGCTTTAAAAAAATCCCAGTGGCAGTGAAAGCAGTACAAGCACCATGGGTTCTTTTACAAAAAAACATAAACTTGAGGAAGTACTTGTGTTCTGGTTGACTAGGGTGGCTATTAGTCTGAGTCTCACATTATGGCAGCAGTAGTGGAGAGAATGAATAGACAGCAGGGAGTGCCATCTTCTTCTTTGTGAATAAGCTGTTACCCAGTTCTAAGGCTCAGGGCAGGTGACATACTGCAGCTATTGGGTTGGATCCTATGCCCTTGGGATGCTGCTGTCCTTCTGTTTCCTCCAATAATCATGAGCCCCTCACTTTAGGGCCCTGAGAAAAAGGCAGAAGTGGGTGGGGAGGCGACTCCTCCTACTCTTCAGCCTGTGAACCCCTATGTTTACACTAGCTACAGGTTCCTAGAGGAGGGGAGAAGGTGACAGGTGAAGTTCTGGATTTTCAACAGAAAGGAGGGAAGTGGCAGCTGAATCTGGCTTCTTTCAAAGAAAATGATTGCATTGTTTGCTTCTGCTCTGATATGGTGTCTAGGGACAAGAGTTCTAACAGGTAGAACTCGATCCATGCTTTTCCATAGAAACATACACATTTCAGGTATAAACCCCTTTTGGAGCATACTTGACACGGCTTCCTCACCTTTCAGCAGGCTATCACGCATCCATGCTGACCTCCAAAGCCTGTTAAATTGAAAATAAGCCCAATTATAAAATTAATGAGACTTATGTCAAGCATATTGCAGCCCAACCTTCATCCACTAGGCAAAGGGTGGCTAACCTGTGGCGCTCCAGGTATGGTCGTACTCCAGCTCCCATCAGCCCAATAAGCTTGGGAATCCTACAACATTTGGACATTGTCTTATGGACAGGGCATTCCTGGGTTTTATTTTAATGAGAGAGGCAATATATAAATATTTTAAATAAACTAACGTTGTTAGGCTCTGTCTTCTTTTGATGGCAAGTCTCACCCTACTCTAGGGACATGATGCCTGCTGGTTTTTCCCCACTATCTCTTAGCAGAAACAACTATGATTATGGCATGAATTAGTGTAATTTTTATCCTTTGTTTTCTGTATAACCCCTAGTCTGCCCAGTATGTTGCTAACACAGGCTTAGTTTCCCGTTGATGACCTTCTTCTGCTTGATGGCTCTCTGAGAGCATCTGCCCTGGGTCCAAGTAAAATATATAACCAGTATGGCGTTAGAATATATAACTAGTACAGCCAACATACTCTTTGGAGCCTTCACCTCAGGCTATTTTCCTTACAGCGCATGGACTTGGATCGCAGGCGAGAAGAAGCCCGCAATCCAAAGAGAAAGCCACGTCTAATGGAAGAGGATGAATTGCCCTCTTGGATCATTAAAGATGATGCTGAAGTAGAGAGGCTAACCTGCGAGGAAGAGGAAGAAAAGATGTTTGGGCGAGGTTCTCGTCACCGTAAGGAAGTGGACTATAGTGACTCGCTGACTGAGAAGCAGTGGCTCAAGGTATACATGGTACAGCATCGTTCTCCAATGATTTTCTAAATTTTTATTTCTACTTGTGTCTGTGTTGTCTGTCTGTGTGTCAGAAAGTTGAGGAAAAATACCCAGTCTCAGAAGTTTTGATGGTCAGCTAAGATTGTGCTAGCAAGCACCGAGTTTGGCAACAATACTTTTTCTACACGAGTATCAGAAATACTATGATGTTGTTAAATTGATAACCTAAATGTTGGCGTTTATAAAGTCTAGGAGCTTTCTTGAAATACACATCAACTTCACCATGCAAAACTTCTGTTGGGTATTAGGAACTCGGCTGTGTGGAAACCATGTTGCCAAATTTAAATTCAACTGATCTCCTTGACAGATTGCAAACATTTCAGATGCAGTAAGCCTGCTTGCTATGCAGCTGAGTGTTTGCTCTTCTTGCCTGTCTGGCCCAGCAAATATTTCATCCTACTTGTTGCTAGGCAGTGATCCAGAGACTGGGGGCTCTTTGGCCTGCAAGAGGCAGACTTTGGGACAGCACGGGGAGGGAATAGGAAGCTGGTCCTAAGCTGCAGTAGCCATCCCGAAGCACTGTTCCTCCTCCGAGCTTGTGCAAGAGAAAGAAAGTGCAGGCTTGGCTAACTTTGTTCTACTGCCGATCAAGCTAAGCTGGTTTTTCTTTGTGGAACATCCCAGGTGCTGAGTAAGGCTCTTATGAGTTGAAGGATTCAAGCCCAAGAGTTAATCAGCAAAGGAGGAAGAGTTGTTCTGCTTTGTTCAGCCTTCCCAAAGGGTGAGAAATTCAGCGTGCAAGCCAGGAACCAGAGAATCTTGCTATGAAATTCAGTTATGAGTTCCTCCTTCCAACCTGCTCCCTTAAGGGCATGGTGGCGAAGCCAGGTTCTCCAGCTGAATAGTGAGGCCTCCTCCCACAAGTTATGCTGTCCTGTTTGTCCAAGGCAGGGACATGTGACTAACATGGTGAACCCCCGTTTCAAGGCATTTCTTGCAGCTTCGTAGAGTGAACTAAAACAAGGTGTCTTGTGCAGACTAAACACTAGACAAAGATCTGTCTACTGCACTCAGAGTCTTGGTTGTTCTTGTTGCTTAAAATACTTGAAACTTTGACATTTCTTACCACAGACTTCTGCTTGCTACCTGAAGGGAACACCCAGGCCTATGGACGAAGTGCACAGAAAGTGAGCCTGGCCTTAAGAAGATCCCTAGAGCACATGACTGAAGTCATTAAGGTGGTCTCTGCCACAACTTATCCCCTCTTAGAGGCATTCTAGCCTGCCTTAAGGCCCTGAAGGAGTTGTTGTCAGAAAAATTAAAAAGCTGCAACTTCTCTTGCAAATATTCTTGTACCTCATACATGCTATTGTTGCAAGTGCTGACTTTTTTTGAGAGAACTTATTCCTCCTTTTTCTGTTTATGGAAAAGTGCAAAGAACATCCTGGAACTGTTAAGGGGAAACGGTTTTGCCAAAGAAGGTGGCTCAAGATGCTGTCGCGTCCACTAGCTGGTCTCTGCAGACCTTGACATGTGTCTACATCTTTGTGCTGTTTCATCTATCCCTTTGGAGAGGAGCAATGCTATAAAAACCTGTACCAGTGCCTTGCCATTGGGAACTTTGGTGCTGGTCAGCAGGTGCCTTTGAGCTACATAGACCAGTGTATGTAACAGTACTAAACAACTCCTTCTGGTAACTGCCAGTAGTGTGGAAGTGAGGCTGCCCATTATGCAAGTTAGTTGCACAGTCTCATGGGCACCTGCCTGTCTTCCCTGGAACAAATTCTTTGGGAGAGGGACTGAAATGTTGAGGTGGCATGCATGCCTTGCATGCGTCAGATTCAGTCCATTTCAAGATCACCAGTGGACCACAAGCTGAGAAAAGCATCTCCTGGAGACACTAGGGAGTAGCTGATGTTCAGCAGTGTCTCTAGATGCATCATATTAATTTCCAAGGGCAGGAGGCTGAAACTCAAATTGAGAAAATGCCATTCCAGCTCTCCAGCTTCTCTGATGGTAATGGCCATGCCATTAGAGATCTGCTTAAAAGACTGTGCCTCATTGCAGGCTTTTTTCACAGACCACATTGCAGCAAACCAGATTTCGAGAAGTTTATTTTGCGGAAGAGTCACTGGCATGATGACTGTTGGTGTTCCAACAGTTCCAGAGGGAAACGCAGGCATCATGCATCAGGATTCATGCAGGCAACACTTCTACTTCAACCCAGAGATTGTTCAGGCGCTTTCTAGCTTGAGACCAGCATGGGCCTTTGTCACCAAGTAGAGTATTCCTTACTGGGTTAGAAGTGCGTTTGAAACCTTGCTGAGAACATGATCAGCACCTTGATGCTTTGGATTTGGGCTTTACTTTGTTGGACTTTACTCTGTTCCGAGTCATCATAAGCCTTGGTGGGTAAGCATGAGCCCACCCTCTTTCATCCCCACCCCCTTCCGGAGCCGAAAATGGCACATGTGTGGATATTGCTGCTTTTAAAGAAAAAGAAATCACTTTAAACTTGTCTATATGATCAGATCAATATTTGGTGGGCACTGAAGCAAAACTATTGCCTATAACTGGTTTGTGTTCTGCTTGTGCAGACCCAGAGCAACCTGGTGGAGCAAGATATTTATTTCTGAGTGCTGTACGCATTTTGATAAGATCTATCAGTATGAAGAGAGACATTTCTAAGCCCATCTTTTTACCAAGGGGTATCCAAACCTTGTTTATACAGTGGTACCTCGGGTTACAGACGCTTCAGGTTACAGACTCTACTAACCCAGAAATAGTACCTCAGGTTAAGAACTTTGCTTCAGGATGAGGACAGAAATTGCACCGCGGCGGCGGGAGGCCCCATTAACTAAAGTGGTACCTTAGGTTAAGAACAGTTTCAGGTTAAGAACGGACCTCCAGAATGAATTAAGTTCTTAACCCGAGGTACTACTGTAAATGTAATAATTAGAAAAACAGTGCATGAACCTCAGGGTTCTGATGCTCTCGCCTACCTCCAGTGAGCAGAACCACTGCCCAGCAACAAATAAAACAGAAAATGTTGTCTTAGCTGAAAATTTTCTGTCCGATTGTTTATTGGACAGTAATCCATAACCTGCATGTTTCAGTGGTAGTCTGTTGGTTGTATAGTGTGCTTGTTGTTTGAGTTGTAGTGTGTGAGGTCTTAGGCTAGGAGTGGATGGTTGTACAGAGGAAGAGGTGGGTGCTCTCGTAAGTCCTTCCCAGAGACCTTTTTGCTTCAGCATCTGCTCCTTATTGGCTGGTCAGAGAGCGTGCCCTGTCTCTGGACTGCTACCTATCAAACAAGTAGAAACGAAAAAAGGTAAGACCACTTTTTCTGTGTTATACCATGTTTGAAGGTAGCAGGGAGGAAAATATTTTATTTTATTTTTGCTTCTGGCCTAAGTACTTCAAAAGTTAGATGCTTTATCAAAAGATAATGAAGATCATATGTTGCCAATAAGTCATTCACTAAATATCAGAGTGACCTGCCAAGCAAGGTTATGTTCTGCTTCTTTATTGCAGATCACCTTAGTTTTCCCCCTGACAGATTCATTGAATTCCTTTTACTATTTAAAAAATTGCAGAAGTGTAGCCATATTAGTTCTAAACAGCAAACAAACTACCATGTTTTGCATTATGAATGCCAGGGATATCTGAGCTTCACGAGTAAACCAGTTAGTCTCTAAGGGTGACATCTTTTCTAGAAGATGTCACATATCAAGCACCCGGCTGGCTGAAGCAGTGCAAACAAACTGGCAGGCAATCCTTGCCAGGTTTATTAATTCATTGTATGATGATGCTTCATATGGATGGTCCACACATTTGGCTTCTGGTCCTGAGAAGAAATGTGAGGGCAAATCCATTCACCAGATAAGTCTCTGTCAGACAGAACCATGTGGCACTTACTCAAGTGCCTCTTTTTACAAACCAGATATTATTCCTAGCTGGGCTGTCTTCATGGGCATGCTTTTCTCCTGCTTCCTTACCCAGTAGCTGGATTCTCCAGGGCAGCATCTTCCTGCCTTCTGATAGGAAAGGCAGCATGTTTGGGGTCTCTCTGTAGCCCCTCTTTTCATGCCTGGCTTGAGCTATGCCCACTAGCAAGTAGCTGAGGCTTAACCACCAGGAACCACACTGGTCCTAATAGGCAGCCCAGCCTTCAGCTGTAATGCTTTGCAGCTACAAGGGTTGGTTTCATATTGAAGTTGAAGGAAACAGGAGACTGATCTCATCTTGGCAATTCCTTGGCACTTAAAGGAATTGTGGCAGTATCTGGAGACAACATGCTTAGTATATTAGGTGGAGCATTTCTTGCAATCGCCTTTTTTGAACATCCCACCCTATCCAAAAGAGCAAGCAGAAGCAAGAATACCTTCTTGCGGAATGAGTGTACCCCACAGCTGGACAGTGGATCATTGACCAGAGGATCTGGAAAGGGATTAACAATGCTTTATTTCCTAGGAAAGATTTTGAAACCTGCTATAGCTTAGGGCAGTGAGTGGCAAACACATTAGCCATACCAGTGAAAGGGAAATTGCTCATACATGCCTTCAAGTGTGAGGCAAGCTGGGGTTTTTTTTATGTTTTACATGGGACAAGGGACTCCATTTCAGTTCTGGATCAAGAAAAAGGAATGCCTTTAGCTCCCGGATACGTTTCCATTGGACTCCACATTTAATGTTTCATACTTGTGCCCTTTAAAAGTGAATTCTGCTTTCCACTAGAGCCCAATCGGAATCTAGCAAGGTCTTCACCCCATACTATGTGTTTTGGTGTTCTCTCTTGAAGAGGCACAGCAGTGTCTCACAGCTAATGTTCTGGACATCCCTTCCTGGTATGTCCTAATTGATCACAAAGCAGAGACCCCAACAAAAACATAGAAACTACATGTATTCATAGTTCCTTGAGTGATTTCACCCCACCCTCCTTCCTTTGGGGGTGTCTTGCTCTGAGTGAGACAGTAAGAACTTCAGACTTTGGAAGGGGATGAATAGAAAGCAGCATTTCTGGGGGGCCCTTTTGTTTTGACACCAGTTCTGAGAGAGATGTGGGCACTCTTCCCCCGTGCAAATGAGCTTTTCATGGTGTTTCATGTGTTGGCCAGTGCTGAGGTATAGTACCTAGTGTGTGACTAAAGAAGACCATTCCAAGAAGGCGAGTAATCTCCATATTTGGGGGGAAAGTGAGGTTGAGGCAGGGAATTTGAAAGTGGCAGATACAGTAGGTGGTGCCCCACAAAGGCCCAAGTTTCTATAGAAGAAGAGTCAGGGCAATTTCTTAGGCTCCAGACTTTTTCTTTACAGTCATTCAAGAGCCGCCTGCCTCTATCGCACTTGTTCTCTCTCTGTTCACCAAATTGACCAGAGTCAATATGACACATGCAGACTCCAGGTCTCAGTTCCTCAGCAACTGACAATAGCAACTACAGGACGTATTCCACAACTTACTATTCACCATAATTGAAAAGGTGGGTATTGAGTGTGTGGAAAGGCTTGAAACCAAAATGGGTGGAAGCCAGGGTGTCAGTGCCATTTAAACGAATGGCAACTAGAACCTTGTTGGCAGGCCATTCTCCTCTTAAAGTCCTATACCAGTTTTCAGGTATTATGGATAGTGCCTGAATTGCAACCTTGAGGTTAATTTGCTTTGGATGAGAGCCATGTATGACTAAAGAAAAAGGAAAGATGGGCCATTTTTACTTCTGAGTTTTCCTACTTCTGTTATACATGGCCTGCAGTTTGCTGGCCTCTATTCCTCTCCTGTGCAATCTGAAGCATTAATGTGTCTTGTTAACTGGTGGTTAGTAGCCGCGGGTCTCTTTGCAGCTTCGGAAGAATTTGCAACTGAGCTGGCAGGAAGGGGCATCCCCACACTCTCCTCTGCATTGTCACGACAGATTCCTCTGCAGAGTCCCAGCCTGCCGGCCCTGTTTAACATGAGAAGAAAAGCTCATAGGTAAGAGAACCATCTTTCCTTTCCCACCGCTACAGAGTTGCAGCCTTCCATTATCCTTTACTGGTTAACCCGGGAAATAAGTGTCTTTTGGGAAGCGGCCCATGCAGACATCCCATTCCTCACTGTGCTAGATTGCTTGGATGTTTGTGTGAATGTCTGTGTTTGATCATTTCACGGTGTGTCGTCTTCATGCTTGCTGTTCATTTTACCTGGCTGACTGAGCTGCTCCCGTCCGCAGGCCATAGAGGAGGGAACGCTGGAGGAGATAGAAGAGGAGGTGCGCCAGAAGAAATCTTCCCGCAAGCGCAAGAGGGACGTGGACGTCAGCTCATCCACGCCAACCACCAGCACTCGCAGCCGGGATAAAGACGACGACAGCAAGAAGCAGAAGAAGCGTGGGAGGCCCCCGGCCGAGAAGCTTTCGCCAAATCCACCCAACCTCACCAAGAAAATGAAGAAGATAGTTGATGCTGTGATTAAATATAAGGACAGGTAACAGAAGAGCGGGGTGTTTGTTTGTCTGTTTCTAAGAAGGCACAGGACATTCTTCAGTATTTCTGCTCTCTGGGTAAAAGTTCACTTTCCTAAATCTCTCCTGGATAGACTTCCTGCTGCTGCATTTGGCTTCAATTCAAGGAAAGATATCGCGAGTTAAAAGGACACTGTGAATTAGGCACATGTCATTTACATAATTTGCATTTTATTTTCACCATCATGGAGACTCCAGACTGCAGTTGATGGGTAGACATGTTGTTCTTCTGGATGATGGCAGTGGGTTGATTCAAATATTGAAAGACACAAATGTGGGTTAATTTGTAGCCGTGCATATACATCAGTATTAAAATCAGGAACGAACAAATAATCTCAGTATTACCTCTTTTATCAGTTGCCATCATTTCCCTCCATTTCTGATGTTTGTGGTTGAATGCCGTTGTTTTTGTATCCAAAATGGCACCATGCACAAACAAAAAGGGAAGATACCAGCATGCTCAGAACTGCAGAAGTACAGAGAACCTTTCAGGCGTTAAAAGGGCCAAGCAGACAAAAAAAAATGTGGGTGCTGAAGTGGGCAGAGAATGCTGATTGCTTGGGGACAGGGAATGCAATGGAGTACCCTGGAAGAAGGCCTGGCTGATTGGCTGGAACAATGTTCATGAACATTACAAACTGCAACATTTTGTCATAGGTTCCACTTGTCTACCTTGATCCTCTTAAATACACTTGAGCTTGCTAGATCAATTACTGAGCGATTTGAAGGCTGCTGGTGATCCAGGGGGCCAGGCAATGAGCTATCCTTGCATCAGATTATTTTTGCTTAAGAGGGAAATATTAAGCCTCCAACCTTGGCTCATATTGATCATGCAACAGGATGCTCATTTCCTTCTGGTCTCTTGTGATACATCCTGACAACTTTTATTCAGGACCTCAAGCCTGAACCACCGACACTGATTTTTCCGTATTTGGAAAGGCTTAACAGAGTTGGTACTTATCCACTGGTTGCTGGTGTTCACATTCCTAAGTCAACAAAGTGATTAACTTGTGAGGATGTGACATACTGTGCAAGCCATTGATGGGTTGCTTTATTAAATACAGAACACGTCACTATTTGTAAAAAAAGTCATATTTGTATTTTGCTGTTGGTACTTCATGGCTATTGAAGACCCGTGGAGACTGTGAGCAAGCCTATTCAGAGGGAAGCAGACCTCTTTCTAATCGTCTTCCTTTTTCTTGTCTTGTAGCAGCAGTGGACGCCAGCTTAGTGAAGTCTTCATCCAACTTCCTTCTCGCAAAGAGCTTCCAGAGTACTATGAACTCATCCGCAAACCAGTGGACTTCAAGAAAATAAAGGTAATTATTCTTGCCTCATTGTAGCAGCACAACATTCACCTTTATGTTCTCATATTTCCAAAATTCTAATACTACCAACCATGTAAGGTAGTTGGAAAATGTTCCTGCCGGCCATCCTGATTAGGGCATCTATCATTTTATGTCACTAGTACAATTTGTTGTTCACACAAGATGATAGTGGACTCCAGGGAAGAAGCCCACCATGTGGAACACCCTCCCATCACATGTCAAGGAAATAAACTATCTGACTTTTTGAAGACACCTGAAGGCAGCCCTGTTTAGGGAAGTTTTGAGTGTTTGATGTTTTGCCTTGTTTTTAATATTCTGTTGGGAGCAGCCCAGGGTGGCTGGGGAAACCCAGCCAGATGGGCGGGGTATAAATAATAAATAAATAAATAAATAAATGATGATGATGATGATGATGATGATGATGATGGCAAACAGCACCTGATCCCATCACTGCAGGGCTATTCTAAGGATTTGTCATGGCCTGTTAAAGCTGAGTTTCCATGCTGTAGTTGCCAACTGTGGAAAAGCAATGCCATCTCTAATTGATCACAGGAATAGCTCACTTTTTCTCTCTTGGTTTTGAAAGTCCATTTTACAAAGTGTTGAAGTGCTGTACTTAATGCCATTCACCACAACAAAGGCAAATGAACAGGAATTGGCCAATGCAACACAGTTGTGACAGATGTGTAGCAACATCCACAGTGGGGAGACCCAGTATTTTTCTGCATTATTTGTAGGATCACTTTTTGGTAGGCTTGTAAGAACAGTGCACACAGCTCTTGCAGTTTCAGCAGCAGTGCATTGATCCAGTTTTGCTCTACATCTTGTGTTGATCTGTTAGGTTGGATGCTGTAGACCTTATTTTAACACATTAATTTTTCATTGCGTTTTAATATCCTTGAAAGCAACCTCAATAATGTGCGGTTACCTGAAGTGTGATCCAGTTCTGCTGGCATACTAAACTGATCTCCAAATGGTGTTGTGTCTGTCAAATTGGGTCAGTCTTTAATGTGTTACAAGACACTTTTGCTGCAACAGACTGTTGCCCTTCTGGAATATGTGGCATAGTGGTTAAGAGTTGTGAACCATTAGAAACCCTGGTTGAAGTGTCACACCTATCATGAACTCGTTAGGTTTCCTTATCAGACAATGTAAATAGTAAAGGTGCCACCCAATTGTGTACATCCACAATTGTATCTACAATTGTGTCCCTCTTTTGAAGCTGTTAAAAGGTAAAGGGTCCCCTGACCATTAGGTCCAGTCGTGACTGACTCTGGGATTGCGGCGCTCATCTCGCTTTATTGGCCGAGGGAGCCGACATACAGCTTCCGGGTCATGTGGCCAGCATGACTAAGCCGCTTCTGGTGAACCAGAGCAGCGCACGGAAACGCCATTTACCTTCCCGCCAGAGCGGTACCTATTTATCTACTTGCTCTTTGACACGCTTTCGAACTGCTAAGCTGGCAGGAGCAGGTGCCGAGCAATGGGAGCTCACCCCGTTGCGGGGATTCGAACCGCCGACCTTCTGATCGGCAAGTCCTAGGCTCTGTGGTTTAACCCACAGTGCCACCCGCATCCCTTCTTTTAAGCTGTTATTGTGCCACAAATAACTAGCATGGGAAGATATGGGTCAGCAGGCTAGTAACTTTTATAGACTTCACTGAAGGACTGCCTCTTTCTATGGTGGAATATAAAAAACGCTGTGAAAATGCTTTTTTAAAAGAACATTTTGAAAAGTACATTGACTTGAGTGTCGCATTTGTATATTACACTTTACAACATATTTAAAACGTTTCACTTGCAGCTGAATCCTAGGAAGAGCAATTGAGCCCTAGCCTGGGCAAGGCTGAGTAGGAGGATGTGTTTAGTTTCTTTCTGCTTTGCCAACCCCTTTTTATCTTAATACAACATACTATTATAGATGGTTTTACATGGTTTAATGCAGTGGGCAGTTGTTGCTTTTACTCCCATTACTTTTAAATAGTGATGACTTCTGTGCAGACATGACCTGGAACCTGTCCCTTTTGTTCCCTTTCCTTTTCAGGAGCGCATCCGGAACCACAAGTACCGCAGCCTGAATGATCTGGAGAAGGATGTCATGCTCCTGTGTCAGAACGCACAGACTTTCAACCTTGAAGGCTCTCTGGTAAGGCAGTTGCCGCTGTCGTATGAATGGCATGGATGTCCCTGTCCATGCAAAGAAAGGTTCACTGCATCTCTCCCCCTTGAGTCCCTCAAAGTGCGCATTGAACTAGACCTCTTGTTCTGGAACTGGAATTGTCAAAACCCGATTGCCAGCTGTTTATCCTTAGAACAAGTAGCTGCTGTTGTGTCATCCCAGTTATCACAGGGGTTGTAATTTTTTATGGAACCGTGGTATGTTGGCAATGCATGAAGCAAGTTCCGAGGTTTCATAGAATTATTATTTGCTGCGTCATGAGGTTTTCTGAGACTTCAGTGGTGTGTGTATAATATGAAGTGCCTTGAACACTCAGAAGCACTTTCAGCATGAGCCCTGAAAAGATTTCTCTTTGAGCAAAAGCATTGTGACAGTGTAGCATGATAGTAAACATGTGGACTAGTTTTGTGGAGCTAGGATTTTACCCTAAAATGTGATTTGCATGTTCCTTGCAGATTTACGAAGACTCGATTGTGTTGCAGTCTGTCTTCACCAGTGTGAGGCAGAAAATTGAAAAAGAGGAAGACAGTGAAGGTGAAGAGAGCGAAGAAGAGGAAGAAGGAGAAGAGGAAGGATCTGAATCTGAATGTGCGTACTTGCTTGCTTGCCAAGGTTTCTTTTGTAAAAAGTATGTGTATGCAGTTTAGTAAAAGAAAATGCCTGAAAGGAGGAACCAGAAAGTCAGCAAATTGGTATTGGATTGAGCCACGGTCTCATGTTCTATGTACACTCAGAGCAGCATATAGGGGAAACCCTTGTGCTGCCACTGTTTTCTCTATACTTGGAGACTTCTTGATTTTCCTGTAGGAAAAAAAACCCATATGGGTTTTCATTGTACAGATGCAGAGCCTTACTGTCATTGCTCAGAACCAGGTGGAGGTGAAAGTATTGGTTCTTGATTTAAAAAGGCAATGAAGTACAGGTGGCATAAAGGGAGTTAGGCTATATAACGATGAAGCCTTGTCATGAATGGTATTGCATTTCCATTCCTGTGTTCTTTGCTCATGAAGAGATGGGAGCACACAGAAATGGGGACAGAGAGAAGAGCATGAAGGCTGATTCTATCCTGTTGTGGCCTTGCCAATCTTACCTTTTTCTCTTTCCCCTCAGCTCGTTCTGTCAAAGTGAAGATAAAACTGGGCAGGAAGGAGAAAGCACAAGACCGGATGAAAGGACGCAGGCGCACCAGCCGTGGGTCACGGGCCAAACCTGTAGTTAGTGATGATGATAGCGAGGAAGAGCAAGAAGAGGTAACTGCAGGATGTCATTCCCCTCACACTGTTGCCAGTGGTTCTCAAAGGAGTCTTCAAGGATGGATTTGTGCAATTCCAGTGAAGGGAAAGGGGCAAAGAAAGGAAGACAGACAAGTCCTTTTACAGTTTAGGCAAGCACAGAAGTGGATCCCACTGCTCATGATCCAGCCTCTTGGGTTTGGAGTAGTGGACAAAATGCTGAGTTAGAGCCAGGGGCCACTACTCATCCATGAAATTTCCTGGATGACTTTAGGCCAGTATACCAGTCTAATCTATCTCTGGCTGCTGTGAGGATAAAGGGGGAGGGCACCCTGCATAAAAAAATGAATTGTCTAAAAAAGAGTGACATATATTATTTTTCTTTCTCCATCAGGATCGCTCAGGAAGTGGCACCGAAGATGATTAAAGAGACATTCCATGGTGCAGACCTCAAAGCATCCGTCTTTCCAAAGCAGAGATGCTGTATTCCCTTAGCTGCAACGGGTAGCAAGAAACGTAGTGTCGGATGTGGGCAAACTGTATAAAACTCTTCCATATTTATACTGCAGTGAAGATGTAGGACTTGTTTGTGTCTTGCCTTGTCCTCACATCAGTAGCATTTGTAACAGCATTAACTGTTTTAAAAAAGAATTATGAATTGGGGAACACTTGATATATATTTTTTTTCTTTTTATGGCAGTACTATTTTCAGTTGCAGTATTGAATCACTGTAGTTTTAACCTGTGGGTGCATGTGTGTAGCAGTCCACTTCCTAGTACTGTATTTTATGAAAACAGGTTGAGCAGCCAGCTGCCCACCAGGTGAGGAGAGGGTGGCAGTGGCAACTGTGTGTCACTGGATTTCAAAACAGTAATAAATTAAGCAAAAAGTACACCCCTTTGTCTGTGTGATGCTTTCATCTTGCCGTGTCAGCTAAATAAATTCCTCCAACTGTTGCCATTTTTAAATAGCTCCTTATCTTGACGGATCTCACAGCATCAGGGGTGTCTGTTTGAGACCATTAACCAGCATTCTGTCTCACATTACAAGCCTTTCTTAAAATCACACCCATTTCCTTGCCTCTCTTGTGATACCAGTTTTATGTCATTTTTTCCTACCCCCAAAAAATCCATATTCCTTGAACAAACACCCAGCTGTTGGAATCAAATATTTATACAAAGCACAGACATACAAAAAGTAAATTGCTGCAGCAAATTAACGTCTGTGGGCCAGTTATTTTCTCCATACAGCCCCAAAACTGTGGCAGGTGCTGTTATGTTGAAGACACTGAAGGAGAGGGAAGTCCAAAGCAAAGCCTATCATGTTCCCAAGTTTGGCAAGGGGTCATTTTCAGAAACAGGTGGAAGGCAGGAAACTGGGGAAGCCAAGAAATGGCAGAGACCATTTCACAGGAGCAAGGATGGTTCACAGCACCAGAATATACCAGGACCCAAAACTGGGAGGAGCAAACAGGATCATGGGAACAATTTGAGGTGGTGGTGCTTAGCCCTTGGGAGTCACCCATGGCACTCTTACCCAGTTTGGTGAGCCATGTTCACCTAGTATGGCTGAGGCTTCTCAGGTGATCACAGTCCGTGTAACTGGTTGATGCCCGGCACCATCACAATCGGTGTACTTCTGTACCAAAGAGCGGAAGGCCTTCCACACGGCTGCATCACGACAGCAGATGGTGCCACCCCCACGGTATTCCTCCGCACGATTGCGGTTCATGTCCCCAACACAGGCCCAGCCAGGATCACTCTCTGTGCTCACACACCACTTGGAATGGTCCACCATGGAAGCAAAGGAAATGGCTGCATGCTGGAAAGCTATTTCCTCCATATTGTAGACTCGGAAGTGCCCGGAACAATTGGAAGGCAGGATCCCTCTGGACCTGAGCCAGAACTGGACGTAGAGGTTACTGGCAAGAGCTTGGGCCAGCCAGCCTGAGTAGAGATCTGGGTAGAGGAAAAGTTCTTATGAGAAGAGCCTTGACATGACTGTGATGACATATTACCAACCCCTTCTTTTAAACATGTTGCTCAACATCTCCCATCGCCTCCCTTTTCAGCAGGTCCCATCTCATCACCTACCATCGTCAAAGGCGCGAAACTTTGCAAAGCTGATAAATTCCTTGCCCCCCACCGATCTGAGGGCCACGGTGGAGTTCCAAGGCTCCTCCTCAATGTGTTGCCCCTCTGAAGCATTCAACAAGGCAGGCAGGTCCTGGGCAAAAGTTCCTTCCACATGATGATCATAGACCAGAGGCTCAGTGTAGAGCAGCTGATTCCCTGCAGCAGAGAGACAACATGTGGCACATCAGAGACACTGGCTTGTAAAAGAGCTGTCCCCAAGCTGAAAAACCTAATAGAGACACTCAAGATTTACATGGGTGGCATCAGATATGCCAGCTACAGGCTCCATCGACCATCCCAGCCAATAGACCTACCTGAGCTATGTTTCATGCCTAAGGGCAAACTCCTGTGTATGTAAACCTTACATACCAGAGGTATATAGGACAGGGAGAGGGATGAGGGATAGCTTGCCCCATCTGTCCTTGAAAATGACTGGCATGGCATATGCATCTTGTATCACAGCCTTGTCAGGGGCAGGAGAAACGCTGTCTTGTTGACCCATTTCCCTACCAAAGCAGCTGGGTATCTATCCGGCAAAGTTAGCTGAGAACAGATAGCCTTCCAAGCCCAACTGTAGCAATTCTGTTCCTTGCTCTGGTTCCACTAGATCATAGATGAACTGGATCCTTTTCTCCTAACTTTCCCTGTCCTGTGGCATATTTTCACGAAGCTGGGGATAGTCTCAAATAGTACAGGGGCCAATTTCTGTCTTAAGCTACTCTGTAAAGTACCACGTACCCCTATGGTTCTGTATACAGGTCTGGTTCATACAAAACACATGTCAATGAAACAGAATTTGTAGGGGAATCCTACCATAGGGAAGCCCTAGCCCTTCCCTACCAGGAGCCTGGAAAGAATCCCAGAGTTCTGACTTCCAGTATCAATATTCTGTCTGTATCAAGATCCTACACCTACCAATCTCTTTGAATTGGCCATAGGGAAGTGTGATGCACAGGAAGGTCTGCCCATAGGATAGGCCACTGTGAGGCCAGTCATACTGCTCATCTGCACTGGGCGGGAAATGAGGAGTGCTGTGAAGCAGCCAGAATCCCTGTGTTTTGTCTAGCAGGATGACTCCTAGAAGGGGAAACAAAAACAAAAGTGGGGGTTGAAACTTAACCCAGGTGTGCTGAAGTTCCAAGAGTGTTGTGCCAGGTGCCCAGGTGGCTGGTCTGGCCAAGTCATGATCTACAGCCACCACACAAGTTGACAATAACGCAGAACCAGTAGCTGAAGTTCTCAACCTTCTTCAAACTTAGGACACATTTGCTGCGCTCCTTTGCATGCATTTGGAGAAGGGGGGGTCTACCTTTTGTATGGCCATTGAGGCTGGAGAAAAGCTCATCTGGAGGCTCATAATTGAGGCTAGAGACAAACTCCCTTGGGGGCTCATCATTGTAAAGGACATAGGCTGTTTGCTCCTCCTGGGTGAGAAATGAAAGATAGGGTGGTTAGAGAACTGGTCTATTTTCCAAGCTTTCCCCTTCACTGAGTTTACGGAAGCAGCCAATACTTTAGTCCCTCCTCTGGGCCAGGCACTCAAGAGCCAGCCAAACTGCACAAGGAGTCCAGGTAGCTGCACTACTGGCAAATGTAAAAGGGGTGTTTAAAAGCTTCCCCAAAGCTGGAAAAGCACTAATGAGACCTTGGGAAGGAGGCGGGAGGAATATAGGATCCTGTGTTGAGCCCTCACGCCTTCTTCCCAAAGCCCAGCACCTCCATTACGTGACAGCATGAGGGGAGGCAGCAGGGGGGCTGGAGGGGGCTTCCAAAGTTGGCAAGTGCTGCCAAAAAAAGGCCTTGAGGGCTGCATGTGGCCCTTGGGCCACCCTGCTGTAAAGGATCCTTGGCTGGACCTTGGAGATCATGCAGCACTTCTTGCAGGAGCCACAAAATAAATCTGAGCTTTAGGGCCATCGCTCAGTAGCAGAGCATCTTGTTTTGCATGCAAAAGGTTCCAGTTTCCATCTCTGGCATTCCAAGCAGTATGAGGAAAGGCTCCTGCCTGAAACTAAAGAGGCCAACAGCTAGTCTTTGCAGACAGCACTGAGCTAAATGGACTAACGGCCTCACTAGGTATAAGTCGGCTTCCCTTTTAAAGTAATTAACCTATTGGGAAAGCCTGGGCTCTAATCTAGCCAACTGAGACAGTCAGCCAGTGGACAGTGAGCCAGTCTACCTGGAGTGAAGGCTTTTGTTGCTTTGGGCTAGAATTGAGCCTTTGCAACCAACGTCACCCTTCCTATCACTCCTACTCATTTGGGATACTGGAAAAGCAGCCTCATGCCTCCTTTTCTCAGACTCACCTGTCTCCGGGATGCCTTTTTGTACAGCTGCTGTACAGTCCGTCCCACGGCTCCTTCGGTACTGTTCATCAGGCTTTTGCCTTGTACCCAGCCCTGGGTCTGGCCGTCTAGATACATGTACCGCATGCCCTCTGCTGGGGGGCTATGATGGGGTTTGGGCAGCTTGTAGGCAATAAACCTGAAACCCAAAGCCCATTAGAAATCACACACCTTGCCACACAGGGGACAGAAGTCTGCCCTTTCCACTTAGTAACCATGTTGCCCACCTGTGCCCTAACTAGACATTCCTAGTTTACAATCCCCTTTTCAAATATCCCACCCACATTTGTTAGGAGTGTAAAATCCTTTATTTATTTATTTTATTGGTTAAAGCACCCTGAAAACTTTGCAGAAGCATAGTATGTAAACCTCATAAAATAAAACAAGAGTAATAAAAGCAATTAGGTCCAATGGACACACACCAATCCACAGGCTGCCCAGAGTCGTCATAGCAGGAAATGCTCCCCGAGACGGCATTGTGGAGGACGGACCCAGACAACAGCAGCAGGATGCGCAGCATGAGGGCTTTGTCTGAAGTCCCTGCAAGGAATACAGCAACAGCAATGAGTGATGGTCAAGAAGTAGCCTTGAAAAGGATACAGCACCTTGTATCCTTGGTGATTGCAGCCCCACTTTCTGAATTTTCAGCTTCCATTGCAACAAAGCATCTTCAGCGCTTTTACTGACATGAAGGCAGATTTGTTTTTATCCAATTGCTCTCCAAGGGATAGAACAAGGAAAACAGACTCCTTAGTTAGCTCCTTACTGACCAAGCTGCATAGGACCTTCTCTTGGCCCTTTTTCTTTCCTGTTTATTTCCATGAGCACTCCCTATTAACAGCAGGTAAGAATGAGCTAATGGGACATGGCTGGCGCTGTGGTCTAAGCCACTGAGCCTCTTGGGCTTGCCAATCAGAAGGTTGGCGGTTCGAATCCCCGCGACGGGGTGAGCTCCCGTTGCTCGGTCCCAGCTCCTGCCAACCTAGCAGTTTGAAAGCATGCCAGTACAAGTAGATAAATAGGTACTGCTCTGGCGGGAAGGTAAACGGCGCTGCTCTGGTTTCGCAAGAAGCAGCTTAGTCATGCTGGCCACATGACCTGGAAAAACTGTCTGCGGACAAATGCTAGCTTCCTCGGCCTGTAAAGCGAGATGAGCGCTGCAACCCCAGAGTCATCCGTGACTGGACTTACTGTATTTTTCGCCCCATAGGGGGCACTGGCCCATAGGGCGCACCTAGGTTTTTTTTGGGGGGGGGAATAAAGAAAAAAAATTATTTTCCCCCCAGGCGCGGGGCTGGGGCGGGGGAAGCCTGAGCTTCCCCCGACCCCAGCCCCCAGAACAGGCTGCTATCCTCAAGCCTAGGGAGCCCGGCACGACGTCACATCAGTCTCCCCAGGTTTGCGGAGAGCTG